CAGATGATATAGTTCTGTTTGGTGACGATGCTGATAAAATGCAGAGTCTTTTGGTAGCACTGAGCAACAATACCAGAATGTTTGGGTTGCGTTTTTACCCCTCTAAATACAAGTTGTTGCTTCAGGACTGGTCTGCATCAACACCTGAACTATGGATAGGGGGTGAAGTATTCGAACTCATCGACAACTTAGGTAATCTTGAAAGTCTGATCAGCGCAAACGCGTTGGTGTCTGACGAATGGTTAGAAGAAAGTTAGGGGTGTGGCATCAGTACTTTAAGTTACTAGCTTCTAGTCTTAGCCATACTGGTAGATGCAGACTACTTGGTTGAAGTTCGTGTGACTATCGTAACGAATGATTGGAGACTCTGGGTGACATGACTCAGAATCGATCACAGTGACGTAGAAGTGTACACTCTCTGTCTTCCCTTAAACTATGAGATTACGATTGCTTTATATCTTCCTTTATACTACCTAATTCCTTCTTCATGTATTATATCCTTATATGCAATCTTTATTTTATATATCACCACCATTGAATTAACTACTTCTATGAACTCGGTGTTCATGGTGTTGTGCTAATGAGGTATGTTAACTTGGACCGATGCACGTATGTGCCTGCTCCTACGCTGAAGCTGACTGACTGAATTTATATTTTATCGGATTGTATTTTTGATGCCTTGTCGTTCGGTTATAACTGATACTGTTACAAACTCTACTATTCTAGGATTTGGCTGACAGGTTCATCTATCTTTGCTAAATGTTGTGTTAAGTTGCAACAGCGGACATATTTACGTTGCGATTGACCGAAATGGTGCCGTTCACTGAATTTTGTAAGTCCTAAGGATAACGCAGTTAATTATGAATTCAGACTTAATGCTGCAAGACTTGAAGTTTTTCTTTTTGATTGAGTAAGACCTTTATTTCCCCCCTTGTAATAATGCTGTTAATTTATTCGTTTGTGAAATGAATTGAGGTTCTTTTGGTTTTACACGAGTACCTGATATTATATAAATGAATAACATCTATTATATCGGATATTATTAATTTCGCTGTGTTTTGGGTATATTTATTTTGCTCAGACTTTTCATTTGTTTAGCTATAACTTCAAATTGAGACATTGCCGGTTCGATACCCGAACTAACAACTTTGAGGAAATTTTGGGGAAATCTCCAAAGTGAAATAGCCATCCCCAAAGTTTGGAAAAACTCTGGAGAAAATCCTCAAAACGTTCGTAGCGCATTTTTTCACAATAACATTTCATCTCCATATAATAAATAAGACTTAAAGTAGTGAATGTGAGTAAATAAATTTACATTTTAATACAATACAGACTTTTGGTCAGGAATAGTCTATAGAATTTCAGGTCTTGTTTTAATACGTCAAACAGACACGAGACAAAAAGTTGTCGGTTGTAAACCTCCCTTTCAAAATTCGAACGCTATGCAGGTGGTTTTTTTACACTGTCGAAAACTTTGGGCGCTGTTTATGTTCAGTCTTACTTAAGTCAATTATTTCTTTCAGAATTACAATAGACAGGTTGATAAGATTTCGAAAAGGCGGGCCCAAGCCGCAAAATACCTGAGGTTGTTCGGCTGTTCCTGAGCCACCTATTACGGAACGTTGAGGAAGTTAAAAAAGTATCAATTACCGAGCAGTGACGAAGAGACAGACAATTCAGTTGTCGTCACAGAACCACAGAATACCGCAGCTACAGAGCAGTGTGCTAATATTGTCTCAGATATAGCTACTGCTTTATGTAGTTACGTCCAGTGTTCAGACAACACAACTAGCGGTAGTATCTCTTTAATTAATAAAAATTTATAGGTTGTGTGATGTCAGAAATGTCTCCAGCCATTCATCTTTCAATGAAAGTACAGTTAGAATAGTCATTGGGATGATGAAAGTTGGTGACATAAGCATAAAGAAGGCTGACCAAATATTGGACCTTTTTCGTGCGCGGTATCCAGAACTTCCAACCTCCGTCCGGAGTGTCCTACGTCGATGCAACGACGTGGAGCCTAAGATCCTCGAATCTGGAACGTATTACTATCTGGGATTGAAATCAAGTTTACTGAGAATTTCAGAGAATTGGCTACGTGAAATCGGTTTCACGGAATTAGACTTGCAGTTGAATTACGACGGTTTAAGGTTGTTTAAAAGCTCTAACCAACAGCTCTGGCCCATCTTAGGTCGCATTGTAGCTCCATTAGTTAGTAGTGTATTCATGGTTGGGATCTACGGTGGTGAATTAAAACCATCTGATTTCAACGACATGTCAGCAGCACTTATAACAGAGTTACAGGAGTTGCTGACAGTAGGTATTAATGTAGATAAGTATCAGCTACATTTAACAGTTAACTTAATTGTTGTTTGTGACGCTCCAGCTCGCAGCAACGTCACGTACATTGTGGGACACAATTTTACCGCTAGAATAAATATATTGGACGATCGGCTTTACATGAAAAGAAACAGATAGATAAAATAATCGTCGTCGGCGATATCAAACTTTCAAAATGCACGAAAGCGAGGGCCATAAAACAAATAATAAATAACAGGTATGAATAACCGCCGAAGACTATCTTAACTTAGACCTAAAATATAGTTCGATCAGACGGTTCGATTTCTTAAATTAGTCTTACAAGTTAAAAAAATAATGAGAATAGACTGCAGTCTAACGACATAATGAGCTGCATCGTGTTCAAACTCCTCAAAATCAGTAGAACATTTAAGATATCCTCTAAAATTATAATAGATTAATTTCTGAAAACAACGAAGATACACAAACTACCATAGAGTTCGCACAAAAATCGTAGTTTACAGCGTCAGCATACACATTTCGCTATTAAGCTGGGTACTATTTGACTTTTCCCAACCATCCTCGAAGTATGCTTCAGAAAATGGAGAATTGCAGTGAGCATTTTACTTATAGAAGAGCGTCTGTCAGATTTTGAACAATATTTTTGACTGTAACACATGATTTTCGTAACATAAAAACGCTAATACTAAAGATTATCAATAACTTGTACGTCTGTAGAACACCGTTGTACTTATCACCGGCCAACAATAGTAGTGTTTCTTGACATCAGGGCTGCCTTCGATTCGTTGGACAGGACTGCTCTCTAGGATTGTCTATTGAAGAAGAGTGCGCCTGAGAAGTTGAATAACATCCTAAAAGCCCTACATACAAACACCCCAGGCAGAATGAGGGCAAACAACCACCTCTCTCCACTATTCGATTCGAGCAGTGAGGTTAGACAGGGTTGCCCAATCTCACCATTCCTCTTCAACTTCGCCATCGATGACAATCTGGAAACAGCTCTGATAGATGTAAGTAATGGCGGTGTGGGTCTGTTGCCTGGAGAAGGACTTCTCGAACTTGAGTATGCGGATGTTATTGTCTTACTGTGCGATAATGCCCAAGCCATGCAATCCGCACTTAATCAGTTGGCAATCAATGTCCGTAGGTACGGTATGTGCTTTGCACCTTCGAAGTGCAAAGTACTTCTACAAGACTGGCAGGATTCTAATCCTGTACTCACTCTGGATGGTGAGCAGATAGTAGTCGAGAAGTTTTTGTATCCGATAGCTGCGTATATACTGGTTGTGCCTTTCCGTTTCCCTCATTATTATTATTACACTACCATACACTAATCTGTGGTCGTTGTTTTGTATGGCGCATATATATCTGCTACCGTCTTGTACCAATATTTATGTGTTCAAATTAATAAGTAAAGAAAATAATAATCTGTAGATGTAAAATTGGATATTGACCTCTCAAAGTATGTACTACTTACACGTGTCAGTTAGTGCTCTGGTAGTAATCATATGATGATGCATTTTGCTTCAAAGACCATGACGAACCATGAAATCTTATTGACTTATGAAAACTTGAAATACCCAAATACATTTTCGCATACTTAACATTCACCTGAAAACACTAGTAGTAATTGGAAATTGTGAATTTTTTTTACTAAAGAAATATTGATGACAACTAAGCCATGAAGTATAGCCATCCTGGAAGATTGGAACTATTATCCGTAGAAAAAAGTTCTTTCTGCAGTGAAATTTGGAGAAAAGACGTGAGTGTAACATGCAAAGTAACTATGGCCGACCAGATAAGAGTGAGAGACTGGAAGTAATTTAAAGCCGAATATACCATTCAACATATTTATTTAGTTAATGAAACTAAAAAGGACCCAAATGATATGAGAAAGTGTATATCACTTTCAAGGCGATTGCAAAGCATCAGACGAAAACCTAGTCGAATAAGAATAAATCCTTATAATCTTTATTATCCCTAATACCTCAGTAAGGGGTGTTATGTCGGAAGATTAATTTATGGGTAACTTCCGGGAACTCTTCATAGACCGTTAATTATATATATATGGGGTTAAGTTTTTTGGTTGAGATCATGATTCGATTGATGTTAGACCACCACTGAAAACATGGAAGCACTGGGCGGTCGTTTCGTCCTAGCGTAGGACTCTTCAACAGTGCGCATCCACGATCCCGCTCGTGGGATCCGAACCCAGGACCTTCGGTCTCGCGCGCGAACGCTTAACTTCTAGACCACCGAACCGAAATCTGACGGCGTTAATGTCTAACTCCAACCAATCCACGAAACTGCGCGACTATCTTCCATTGTCTGAGGTAACTAACTGACACGGATTAGCCCGACCGATCGGGTACATCCGGCTGACGAATCCCAAGTGGAACGAAACGCGTCCTGGATTCCGCCACCCATTTTTACTTATAAAGCTCGACTTAAGACAATATCGAGGCAGTCCACACAGGATGCACACATGCCAACAGGAGACTGATCAATTGCAGTCCTACACAATGGGAATATACAAACAAACAATACCAAGTATATATATTCTGTGGAATTAATTTAAAAAATTCAAATTTATTCAGTCTGATCACCTAGCATCTCCACAGCCTAAATAGACGATAAAAACCGGAACATTCTAATAATCAATAAATGAAAGGAACCTAAGCCCAGAATAGATGACTTTATTTCTCAACCCGTTTGAAATTCCAAGTAGTGAGAAACCTCAATTTTCTAGCGTAAATGTGAAAAATCATAGAGATGGGATATTACATTAAATAAACATAAAATAACAAAAGTACAAATGTCAATAGATCATAAATTATTATTCTAGGTGATTTAAATTAGCAGAAGTTGTGGGAGAATCAGCTAATGCAGTATTATTAGAAAGTAAATCACTTCGATTAGCTTCGATTTCACCGGAAATCCCACTAAAAGTAGGTACTGAACTTGTAACAGTGAAAATATTGTTAGACAATTCATTTGACTCGAGATTGTCTGAATCCCCAACAGTAGTTCTTAAGTCACCTAACGACTCTGTTCGTTCATGAGAGTTGATAGAATGGTTTAAGCTGGAAGCATCCTGACTATTCCGGACAGATAATGATGGTGTGGAAACTTGTAGCTGAATTTGACCTACAAGTTGATTATTAGAAACGAATTCACGGAATTCCCAATCACTAAGCAGGTTAGGTAATTCGTAATGATGGAAGAAATAAATCATTGAATGCAAAATAAACAGCCAGGAAACCCAAAGAGCAACACCGCTGAATTGCCCATTGAAACGATAATGGTAGGCATAAAATCCAAAATGATACAAGTAGAAGTACCTGATAAAATTTAAAAATTACAAATAAATGTAAGACAGAGCAACATCCAGAAATTAACTCTTAAAAACAAAGTGAAAAAAACTTAGTACTACACTGAATATATAACTTGAAGATTATTTAATTTTATTTAGGCTTTTATGAGAAGTGGAATTAAGTATATAGGTTATTAATAATCGCTAGTGTGAATATGTACAACGTGATACAATTTAGGACTGTTTCACTAGTTAAATACTCATGAATCTGATTATTATAAAAACTCCATAGTTCTAACCTGAACCAATAGTACATTTACAGAATTTCTCTTAAATATTGTTTAACGAAAAACGGTAACTAGATGGTGAATTGGAGGGAGATTTATCGGAAACAATAAACAACAGTATGTTCATAAAAAAGATGGTGCGATCTTATTAACAATATGTTGTGGATACGGAGGAATAGACCAATAATTATCATGTTAAGTCCAATGGTGTCCTTGGACTTTAAATGGATATTTCCTATTGGTCGATATCTGTTCACTTGTTGAATATTGTACAAAATGTTGTTTTCTATTTTATGGTACGATGTGGTATGCTTGATTGGTATATAAACAAAGTATGTTTGAAATATAATGATTCATATCTCCGAGGCTGTGGCTTGTGTTCTGGACTCAACTAACTGGGCTAGACAGGGAAGTGGGACCAATCGAGACTCTAGACTGTCCGTTCGTGTTTACGTGTCACTGTAATCGATCGATAAGTACGCTGCTCTCTAATTTTCCAGTCAAGGACACAATTAGCACAGGGTAAAAATCGACCGCAACCTAAAGCCATAACACAATATATTTCCATACTCAGATCACGTTACAATGAAGGTCATTTAAAAATAAATCCACCACCAGATTCTAAAACACAAGCGCAGCTATATATCTCGTAGATAAATAAGATATCATAACTTTTAGACTACGACAGGTTCATTTGGTGGGACTTTAGATCTAGTTAACCAGAAACGAAACGCATTTTTGTAGGGGGCTTCCTGAATGAAATAATACATGATTCAGTAATTTAAAAACCTAAAAATGAATAACTTGAATATTTCTTTCCAATTCTCATACATTACTTGACATCTTGAAAATACTACAAGTGACAGGAAGAATATAAAGATCCAGAAAATCAAAAACATATTTGCCACTTTTTAAGATGCAATGTATTGGCGACTTTTGTCTGTAATCATCACACTTCGCTTACTTCGCCAAAAGGGTTGTTTGTTTTTTCAAGTAAATGGTCAGTGAATAATTAAAACAACGATTTAACCTTAATCAAATTTCACTTAGGTATGGTGAAGATTGCTGTTAAAAGATTTTCTCTTCTTTAGGTTTCTAAGCTTAAAAAAGAACCGAATCTATCAGTCGTCATAAGTGATAGATTATGTTATTTTTCAATACTAAGACGAATCATTCGTGATACGCTGAACACGCATAAAATTATAGAGTGGGCCGAAAAGAAAAAAGTCGTCAACTTAATTGTTTAAATAGTTCTCAAAAATAAACGAAAGACTAATCTTCTTTTCTTTTCATTATGGAAAGCGTTAGGTATACAACAACGGTTAAGTAGACTGAAAATGAGAGTGACGTAACACTATTCAAATATTAATAAAATTAAAGTCAGAAACCAAACGAAGCTGCCTATAGAACAAACGTTCAGCTGAAGATTATCTATAAGCGCAGTATAATGTAAAAATTCACTAACCTTGGCCAATATCTTTTGCTTAATTCAGTACGACAAAATACAGCTTCATAGTGATCACAAACGCTTATAATGAGAATAACATAAAACGCAGTGATTGAATCTCCAAAAAATTCAGACATGATAGTTTCCATGGCTGGAAATTATAAACAATTGGTAGGCTTTGCGTTAGGATGGAAAACGGACTTGCTACATCACATTAAAGGTCAACAATAAATATTTATTAATATCATTGCAAAATCGATCAGAAAGTACTTAAAGTAAATAATAAGTAAACGTTACACCACGAGAATGAATTATGACCATGATTAAAGTCATCAGCTAATCTAACTCTAGAATCCCAGGCACCCAAGAAATGAAAGAAACTAAATATGTAAATATTATGAGTGACTGAAGACTAGAGCACTGGAAACAAAAGTATGTAAATCAATGTGAGTCAATAAAACACGATAAACATTTAGAGACTTTATTGCGACAAGCTGAGATGTTAATCATAAATAAATTTACAAGCCCAAATATGTAGAGTCAAAGGATAGCTAATTAGTAGACCGAAACATCTTTTTTAACCGTAATACTGCATGGTTGTACTAATAAAGCAGATATAGCCTAATTATCTCATAAGAAAAATACAGCACATAGAAAAAGTTACCATATTCCACGTTCTAACCATTAACGAGTGGCAAACTTAACGAATCATGGATATCATTCATTTTTGAAGTATACTACAAACATAACTCAAGATAACCTGAAACGTTTGTAGTGACTCACATTTATCACGAGAACACGACTGGTTTAATAAAAACAATTATTATTATAACCAACTGTGCCAGTGTTTGTTTTAACGTGCTTTTGTTTGACTGTGCTAATGACAGCTATTTTGTGCTTCCATTCATATACTTACACTTTTGATTGTGACTTCGCGCGAATTCGGTTACGTTCTGTAACCAAGCTTGTATCCTGGCACGATCTCGGTATCCTTTCGATGCCACGAGATCGCCAGCAAATATATCGCGATTTGGCCCATTAATTGTCTTCTGATATTTGGCTTCTCGGGGATTTTATGGATTTATTTGGTTACGTTCTACCTTCGCCTTCTGATTAACTTGGCACGTGTTTCTTGGTAGCGGTGTTCATAGTTAATCCCAACTCGACGCCACGCTACGAGTTCATTGGTAAAAAGTGTATTAATCCATAAAGGGGCCAATATTGTTATACTGATGATTCACACTGTTTTTTTCTGACCACACATGTTATTATCAAAAACATTTAAAAGCACTATTATTCAACAGAGTCAAAACAGTTATACAGAAATATTATAAAACAAGAATTTAAAGAACCACATCTATAATGCATAACTTACCAACAAGAGCAAGAATCACTGTCATAAATGGGGCAACAGGAATCCCAAACGAGGTATTCGTTTCAAACATTTGGAGAATATCAGCTAGAACACAAATACCGGAAGATAAAATTAGTGGAAAAACAAACCAAGTTGTCATTTGTGTACGTATCCACGAAATTTATGGAAACACCTTTATATTCATATGGAACAGTGAGTAACGACTCAACTTACGAGTAAAAAAAGTATAGCTAATTGACAGAAAATAATTTTTATTGATACAGACAACAAGCCTCTTAAAAATGGAAAGATACTTTAAAACCAAACACCTGAAGTTCCTATTGACGACTGTTTTTAGACACTGAACACGCTTCTTTTGAGTTACTTCGGTAAATATTCTCTTAATATTAGTAAAACATAGAGACAATACAACTAGGAACAGTCAAAACAACTACAATTTGTTTGTTATTTAGAATGGAAGTGAGCCAATTTACCATAAAATCATTAATTTTCATAAAACCAGACTGGCAAAAAATACAGAGAAAAAAGTTAAAGGTATATTACTTTTTGCAATAATATACCTAAAAAATAAGTGCCCAATCAGATATACACATTCAAATATGTCGTTGTTTTTCATTTACTTCAGTATGATAGTCATGTAGTTTTTTTGCAGCTGTAGTTCACATATATTAAAATTAATTAGAGAACTAGTGTTTGCAAGGTAAGTTGTGAATAAACTTCTGACAACAACTAAACCATACAAGAGTGATATACTAATTCAAATTAGTAACCCGAGTGATTTAACAGTAAATTACTTACCTATTACAACCACAAGCTGTTGACTTGAATATCTTAACAGAACGGATATACAAAATGTCTGCAAAAAATAATGCAAAGGGATGGATAAATATACAACTTAAAAAAGAAAAGTTACAAATTATAATGAAGAAATTCGCAGATGAAATATTTGTCTTCATAATGCAATTGATGCACCAGCTACCAGTTAGTTTTATACTGAGACGAAATAGGAAAGTGTAAATGCCACATGTGGCACAAAGAAACCTGAATAAAACCTCGCATTTTATGAAACAGTTCATGAAATCAAATAATCAGGTACCTAAAACCGCCTAGACAGGACAGAACACTTAACAAAAGCGAGATGCTGAATGGTTTGGAAATAAAATTATGCTGTTGGGGATACTCAATATCCCCCAAAACAAACTACGTGACTGGAAGTTCATCTGTTGACTGGCTGTCATACAAGTTAGCTGATATCGGAATTAGAGGCAACTAATTTATGTAGATAAAGAACTGCCTAGTGGGACGCCAGCATCGAGTACGAATGAACTCAAAGTTCTCTAGCTGGGAAACTGCACTTAACAGGGTATCCCAGGGTACAGTGCTGTTTATCCTGTGTGTAAATGACCTTCCTAGTCTCCTATCATCATTCGTTTCGTTATATACTGACGACATGAAGAGCGATAAAAGGTAAAGGTAATAGTTTGGAGTTTCAAAACGACCTGGAGAAATGATCTGAATGGTATAGAATTTGGCATTTCCTGATAAGTGCTTCCAAGTGAATTTTGGTGTATATCGGTCAACATGGTACAGATACATACACAGTGAATAACACTGAACTATCTGTTGTCCAGACACACAATGACTTAGGAGTCATTGTTAGCCAGGACTTGGAAACTACGGCACACTGCCGGGCGCTAGCTGTCAAATGTTTTAGAACCCTATGGTCAATACGTAGAGCGTTTCGCCATGTCGATGCTAAAACTCTTTGGACTTTATATACAGTATTCGTTCGTACTAACCTGGAGTACTGCGTACAAGCAGCTATTCACTGCCTAAAAAGAGACGGCGAACCATTGAAAAAAATCCGAAGGATCGCAAATAAGCTGATTCTTGGGTTAGCAAGGTTCCCACATGGTGCTTGACTGGCTGAACCAAACTTATTTTCATTGTCATATAGAAGAACCAGAGGTGACGTGATCGCAGTTTTTTAACTGCTTAGTGATAAATTTGCATCTGATATGCCCTCATATTTCTTATCTTCCAAATCAGAGACTTTATGAAGATACTCTAGAAATGTTCACGAGTCCAGTACAAATTACTTGTCAGCTGACTATTGACTCTCCCATAGAATTATCAAAGAATGGAATTCATTAATTTAACACGTGATTGGAGCTTCATCTGTCGACGCTTTCGAAAGAAAGTCGATCCAAAGAGACCACCATTGCCATGACTAAGACAAGCCACCTAGCCTCTTATCCTTTCAAAACTAAAGCTGAAACTGAACTGAATGAACCAGTGCTATCGTGTGATAAGACTACAGCTTATTGGACACTTGCTAAGAACTGCTTACGTACCGAAATAACAAAAAATGGGTTCAAAGAAATCAACTGGTGTATAAGTTTGTAACAAAGATTTAATTTTTTTGGATTAGGGAATCCTTGTGAATGGATCGCGCTTCTTTGAAGTGCTCCGCTTCTGGTCGTTGACTGTGGTACTTTACACTTTTGTGCCTTAGTTCTGCATTCATATTTATTCCCAAATAGATGCTTCTAAGGTTTTAGGTCTTAGCTCACGCATTCATTATTTATCCACTCACACTCAAGATACAAGTATAATGCATTTGGATCCAATTGCATTGTGAACTGGAGCTCACATATCCATATGGAAGTGGGTGGTCTTCTGACAAGCAAACCGTATATGTGTCTATACGACTCATTCTCCTATATTCATTGCTGGAGAGCTGAGTTATATAATCCCTCATATTATTGTAACTCCACGGCATTGATTGGCTTGTTTTGGTGATAATATAGTTGCTGGAAATTAGAAATTCACTGTCTCAGTGGATCATGTAGGAATGTACAAACTTGATTCGCATTCGCAAGACAATTCCTATACTTTTGGAGACTATGATTTACCTCGCAATCGACAACAAAGGTATAATTGTATTCATCCTTTAACTTCTCGTAAGCCTCGAAAACGACATCATTATATTCGTTCCACTCCCCCAGTATTATCCACTATTTAATGTTTTTGTAGTTTTCCCCTACTATCATTATTTTCCCTCTTAAACCTTACTTATTGATTATATACATCTCACTGTGATGATGTAAAGTGTCGCAACTTAATTTTAGTTCTTTTATGCTGTGTTTCACATTGTATTACTTCTGTCGGCACTGAGGAAAGTAACTTCAATCGTTTAGGATATCAGTATTCACTCAGCCAGGAAGTTATAGATGATGTACCAATCATAGTGCCATATCTCTTATCAACACAGTAAGTGGGAACTAACAAGACTACAAACTAAGCGTGAAAGATACGATCCAAATGAAATCAAAGCATGGGAAGTACAATGTGACACCCTAGTCTCTTTAATGAACATTAACAGTTGTCCGCTGTTTGTGTCAGACTAGGTGTTTAGCTAGTTAAATCATAAATACACATTGGTACCACTTCCACTCGTTTTGTTGCACTGTCCTTAAATTTAGTAATGTGTGGCAGTACACGTCATCGCATAAGAACAATCATGATCCAGAAATGTGCTCCGGAAATTGAAACAGTTTTTTGTTAAACGTTTCCGACGATTAGTGGTTGTGATATCTATCATCAACTGTGTCCCTCGTTAGGGCTAGATTTCGTCAGATCAAATATTTTTTTATGTTCAAATTAGTACTTGATGACCATAGACAATTCATTGAACATAACTGCATTAAAAGATTACCTTTGTCTATTTATTGAAGTGAAGTGAAAATGCCTCAACCAAGAGCGTTCCTATTTCATTTATTTTATCTGCCTGAAAGTTGAAATAACATGCTACATTAACTAGGCTAGAGTGACTAAATGTTTGGAGGAAGAGTAGTGAAATTTCGATAGGACTCATACTTAAGTTTATTCGAAGGAAAGTCTGTGGTGATTAAGGAAAAAGTACGAAAGGTCAATGGTTCGTAACCTACTTTCTCCAGTTCTTACAGTTTAATTTAGTCAAATAGCACACCAGTGACTGTTGGTTGGAAACCACGAGTGCTCATTCTGTTTTCCGACTTAATCATAAGCCTGCGTCAACAATACTATGGGTCAAACGAATCTCTAGGTTAGGTGAACAAAACTTTTATGTGTGTTCAGGAGATATGGTGTAAATGTACGTCACTGGATCCTACAATCTTAACTAATGAAATCTATTGTCTGCGGTTATAAATTTAGATGCTTCAAGATGTGGAATAAAGTACGGTCTGATAAAACTGTGGATGGCATCCCGTAGGCTCAAAGAATTAGCATAGATTAAGAAAGAGGGGAGATGATGCAACAGAAGCGTTCATAGTAGAAGTGGAATGTTATTTCAGGAGCCAAATGCTGTTGGAGATATATTGGTGAATAACATTTTCGATACTGTGAGTAACTTTTCTGGAGAACTTGAAACGGAGACGAAATTAGTGCTAAAATTAAAAAACACTGAGACTTGACCGCAAAACCCAAACGACAGGTGCCTGAATTCAGTCACACACTTCTACATGAGTAATTATTTTCGCATTATTGGCTTGATACTTTCCAAAACTGGAAATATGCATGAAAAGAGGAGTGAATTATTCAGTGTTTCTAGTTTATGTTTTCTAGTTCGTCATTTTATATGACAGAACAGTAGAGACATCAGTTAACCCTACAAAACCTTATGAAAGACAACTACCTGTCATGAACTAATATTGTGAGTGACGCCTATCATCAGTGACGGAGATTTGTTGATGGAAGTTCAGAAGTCACTGGAGCTGCTCAATTTCCAAAAGTTAAACACGATTTCGTATTCCCACGAGTGTTCGGTGTCATACCACATTTAGGAATGTAGAATTAAAGGCAAAATACGTCAGTCAATGTTGTCAGTATATTACGTTCCCTCGTTTTTTGTTTACTGTTATTATTTATTGTTTGATTAATCGACTACTTTGATTTTGTAGCTAAATTAATGCAGGATTTCGAAGAATCTCGAAACATTTTATCGCCCAGGGAGCTGAAATTTCGCTAACTGGTTGTAATGAAAAAATAATACAGAGTTAAAGGTTTTAGGTTGAGATCGTGAATTAATTGATGTTAGACCACCGTTGGAAACCTGGAAGCACTGGACGGCCGTTTCGTTCTAGTATGGGACTCCTCAGCAGTGCAAATCCGCGATCCCGCACCCCGCGGGATTCGGACCCAGGACCTACTGGCTTCGCGCCTGAGCACTTAACCATTAGACCACTGAGCCGGCATCCAATGGTGTTAGTGTCTAACGTCAACCAATCCACGAAATTGCGCGACCACCTTCCATTGTACTGAGGTAGATACCTGTCTCTACCCGACACGGATTAGCTCCACTGGTCACGACTTCTCACTAGAACTCCGAGAATTCCCTCACGAAGCTAGTCACTAGTGAGCACATGTTAATTATCAGTATGGGGGTTGTGGAGTGACTAGCTTCGTGAGGGAATTCTCGGAGTTCTAGTGAGAAGTCGTGACCAGTGGAGCTAATCCGTGTCGGGTAGAGACAGGTATCTACCTCAGTACAATGGAAGGTGGTCGCGCAATTTCGTGGATTGGTTGACGTTAGACACTAACACCATTGGATGCCGGCTCAGTGGTCTAATGGTTAAGTGCTCAGGCGCGAAGCCAGTAGGTCCTGGGTTCGAATCCCGCGGGGTGCGGGATCGCGGATTTGCACTGCTGAGGAGTCCCATACTAGAACGAAACGGCCGTCCAGTGCTTCCAGGTTTCCAACGGTGGTCTAACATCAATTAATTCATGATCTCAACCAAAAACTTAACAATCTCCGCAACCCCCATACTGATAGTTAAAGGTTTTACTAAATTTGAACAAGACGTTCAAAAGTAATTCGTGCAATTTGGTGAAATACATTACCAGAACAGCTAAAAAGAGTTAAACTCTGCTAGAAATAGGAAGATTGATGATCGAGAATCTAAATAAAGCCCATAATTTCCCCATTTTAACTAGTCATTATATTACTAAAGTGGTAACGAAAATAAGAATACTGAAACAATGTAAACAATTAACAATTAATTGTAGCCCACGAGGTTACTAATTCCCATATTCCGCAACTACTTTCATCTCGAAAATTACTTAAAACGTACAGAATATCTGAAACAGGAGTGAAAACCGTTAACAGAAAACTTACAAATAGTAACATGATCAGAGCAGCAGCAAAGTAGGACGACCTGGACATCTGCGAAATAACGAGCTTATAATGTTGTCCGCTCATTACGTTTACCACATAACCTTTCAATCCTTCGCTAGCTGATAAGTACTTCACACTACCAATCAAAAGGTCTTCATAACCGAGAAACTCTTCCATGAGGAAACGACTGAGTTTACTGCCGAAGCAAGGGTTTGTTTCTGGGTCTACAATTTAGCAATATGCATATTTGATTACGTAAACCTAATGGTAGAAAAATATTACTTCCGCACAGAAATTTGAAAGAAAAAATCTCAATAACCAATCCTAGTAAGCTCCATCACTTGCGACTATAAAAACTTAGCAAGTCCTGCAGAAAGAGACTGGAATGATTCAACAGGAACAGTACACCAAGATTTCATAAGCAAATAATATTAACAACCAAGTATTTCATCATACGAAATAAAGGTCCGCACTAAACACGAATGAAAATTAAATAGGGCATCCTTAAAGTTCTTTGAACGACATTCACGTTTACACTGGCATTTCTGAATGGTAATTACTAACATCAAACATATTAGACAGATGACGCAATGAGTTACTAATCTCTAGTCAACAATCTGATACGAAAGTGTCAGAACTACTTTCAGGAAAACACTAACACTGAATGAGAAATTTTTACGGTAAGTGAACGAACGTTGGATAATGTGCAGGATGATGATATGAAAAGTTTGTAAGTAACTCATTTTGCTGCTGGACTTAATTTGAAGCTCCATTTTGCTAATATTAATTCTTCTTTTTCTCCACATTGGAAATTCGTGCACTATGCGACCATAACGCTGTAAAAAAATTACATTTTTGGTTCATTATTTTATAGAACTTTATTTTTCCAGTAATAAATTCAACCGCTTACACATGGAATTACTATATCCTCCGATTTGAGTTGAGGACACGGACGATGTAGAAACAAAACTGCCCTCTAGTTTACCTTAGCCTCACTCAGGGAATTATATACGAGGAAATTTACGTAGCAAAAAAGAATGTAAATAAAAGGAAAAAAACAAAGAACAAGACACCAATAAGATAATTTCGAAACATGTTTTACTAAGTAGTACAGAAAGATAATTACAAGAAACAAACAGAATAAAAACTTAATATTACGTCATTTTATCACCAAATGAAATCAACTGTTACGTTGTGACCTAAGCATCTTTATCAAGAATTTGAAAAGTATTAATTAAAATTTTAATGAATAACATTTGATCAATTATGGACTTTGGAAAAGGATTACCTTCTCATTACCAGACGTTATACAGTTCAGTACTGATGTTAGTGGATGTTACTGCTAACTAATTTTTATTTAACTTGAAAGGTGTAACAGAGAATAACATTACTATTGTTCAGGCTCTTTACTAGAACACTTCTGGTCGTGACAGACCTTATGGCAAACTATCATCGGAATTGTTTACTTCAAGTGCTGTTCGTCAGAGTTGTCCGTTCTCTTCACTTTTATTTAACTTTGTCATAGACATGCTTTTAGAGATGACACTCGTCGTCTGACTTTTGAGGGGTTGATCTACCATGAGATTCATTTGTTGACTCAAGTTGATATAATACTGTTTGGTGAAGACGCTAGCAAAATACAGTCATTTGACCATCTTAAGCAACAATGCAAGCATGTTTGGTATGCGGTTCTCTCCCTCCGAATTTATAATTTTACCTCAGGATTGGCTTGCGTCATCGCTTGAATCGATGATAAGGAGTGAAGTTGGACGCATCGACCGCTCCACTTATATTGGGAGACTCATCAGTACTGACGGTATCGCGTCTGACGAAATTTCGGCACAAATTTAGGAGGCTCGATAGACTTTTGTCAACTTGCATCATTTGCGGCGTAAATGAGATGGTCATCTGCCAACCAAAAGTTTTATTATTTATTTATGTGAACACATAAATATTGGTACGCTATAGTCTGATCGATGTTGCCGGTGCAGCAGACCAGTAGAACTACCCCTAAAAAAACTCTGACTATCGTCCAAGACGTCGTTTGATGTTAGCGATTGCCATCCGGTCATCTTCACAGATTGTTTCGCTCACACGACATTTCTTGCTACCAGTGGCTCGGATGAGTTGGAAGAGCCCTCGGCAGTTACCATATGCAGCTGCTGCTTCCAGATCATTAGCACGCTTCGACCACAAGGCTTTTCGGTTCTTACGCAAGCTTTGCCCGATTTCCTTACGTAACATCCTTCGTTTGTGGTCAAACTCACGGTCACACGGAGTGAACCGATGGGCTTCGATGAGTTATAAGAAGCCTGAAGAAACCTAGTGCTTACAAGCGGGACGTTTCGCGAAACCGCAAGGGGCTTTACTGGCCATTTTCATGGCGTCATGCAATTGCATCCAATGCTCACCTATACTTTCCGGTGGAATGGTAGCTAGCCTAGCAGCTAGCTCGGTTCGATACTTACTAGCAACAGAAGTTGCAACCAGCTTGCTAACATCAATCCGTTGGTGGCGGTCACTTCGTTGTCCACTGAAAAGTGAGGTAAGATTGGCGCAAAGAAGGACATGATCACAGCTCATATAAGTGCTCCAAAAGGAGCGGCAGTCTTGTACACAACCACGCCAGCGGTAGCTGATCGCGATGTGATCAACCTGAGTCCAGGACTGAGATGCAGAGGGAGGACGCCAGAAGGCACGTTGGCGCTGACTGTGCCGAAAGTTAGTGCTAGCCAGAAACAGGTTGTGGTCTGTGCACAGTTGCAGTAGACGGTCCCCGTTATCGGTCCTGCGACCAACGAGTCCCCATCGGCCACCTAAACGACTCTCTTATGTGCCTAGATGCCCGACCTGAACATTCAAGTCTCCGGCTAGTACTACAATATCTGTCGAACGCACGTTCTGGGGAAGAACAGATAACTGGTGGTAAATCTCATCCTTGATTGCATCCGGGCTGCAATCTGTCGGAGCATAGGCGGAGATAACGAAGAGACATCGTTTCTCACGCCGATTTCTTCTCACTTTGATGGAACTTTCTAATCTAACAGCACATAACCGACTGTTAATGGGGATCCAGTCGATTAGTGAGACACCAACGCCAGCAAAACCAGACGTGGATACCAGAGGGTCCCCGGATAAACGCACATAAAACGAGCTTATCGAAGCGACATATGGAGAGCTAATTTGTAGTACTTCGCTAGAGTTTTGAATACGGATTTCGGATAGACAACAGACGACGATATTAAGACTTTCCAAAGACATAGCCAACCCTATCTGTTGTCCGATCGGCGTTAGTGTGCAAACGTTGAAGGCGGCCAGTTTGAACGGTGCACGTGGTTTCATAAAAACTGCTTCAGTATTCGTATTTGGTGGTAGCATACAATTTTCAACCAGGCAGTGACTCAAGAACGTTTAGATAGAACCGAGTTTCCACCATAAGCGAGCTGCTGTATAAGTCGAAAAATAAGGATACATAGAGCGGGAATAAAAGAGAGTAGATAAGTGACGTCGTACATAAAAGAAAGCAAAATAAAAATGAATTTGAATTGTCTGTCGAGGCGAGGAAAGAATTTCCAGTAATTTACTGTGCAGCAGTTCACTCTGTTCTACTTTATGTGTATGGAACGTAAACATTAATAATAGAGAATATTCGTAGACCACTAGTATTCGATCACAGGTGTCTTCGAAGCAGTCCGCTTGTATTTTGAGATCACCAAGTAAGCGATGCTTGGATTGGAAACACGATACTAGGTAAGGATGGAGAGTCGATTGGTGAAATAGTAAATCTTAAACAAGCGGTTGGGACCTGTCACGTATGCACAACCACAACCTACCTCGACGGGCGATTTTGTACGGTGTGAGAGTACACTGGAGGAAAGCTAGGGACGGACAAACCAAAAACACCGCACCAATTCATGAAGACATCGACGACTGGACTGAGCCATTTGTCTTCCCCCAAATTCTGAGCTTCTGAATCCCTCATAATTTCTCTTTTCTGTAGTTATCAAACTAATTTATGTTTTCTTGAACTTTATTTTCGATACCTACTCTTTGCAGTCACCATTCACACTGTTACTACCTCTACAACTCTGAGATTTGGCCTGACATCATCTCTCTGTGCCGATGGGGTATGGCAACTTGGACTGATGTACATAAGTACAAGTTTTACGTTGTGACTGATTGAATGTTAACTTTTTCAGTGTATCTCAATAAAACGGACATAAGACGATTACAGGAAAGTTAAACATACCAAGAACAATTAATTTTACAGTTACGTTAAGCCGATTTCGGGCCCGCGGTGAGAGACGAAGAAAGCCATACTCCAAGGCGTATTCAATTATGTAGCTCTCATTTGTGTTTAGTGCTGTAAAAGTATTAAAATTTCCGAAAATTGTATGGCTGCTACGAAATTTAGGCGGGAAAAATTTGTTAGGGAAGGTAAAAATGATAGTGTTTTGTAGAACTTAATGAGTTTATTGTATTGCGTTGCTTTCTACATAAGTACATACACAAGCTCATAAGTTTAGTTAATTCAAAATCTGACTAAATATTAAAGTTCAAAATTCATATCATTGGAAGCCAACAAGCTGGTAAAATGGATAAGATGTGGTTCTGAGTTGAACCTTTAGCGGGGTTCGGAATGTGCACTTCTGGAAGGTCTCATACTAAGATAAAATGGTTGCCCAGTGTTCCCAGGTTTTGAATGTTATTCCAACTAAGGTCAATCTATGATGAATTTGACCTACAAATGTTAAAATATTCGGGAATAAACTGAACCGAATAAAACCGAAATGTAACGAGATACGATGGATTCATGGTATCTTGAAAACACTAGTAGAAATAAAAAGTATGACAGATATTTCCATGTTACTTGTCTTAAAGCCTATAAAATACTGCATCTCACAAAAGCTTCTGTAATAGGATTATAAACAAACTACTATGTGCTTATACCAGATAAGAGAGAATGAATTAGTTTAGTGATTCCAACCAGTTTAATTGGTGAAGAAAGAACTTAGGCTTTTAGCGAATCAATTAAACAGTTACATATACAAACAAATTGCACATTTATTTATTTTATCGCGATCATGTCAATATTGTTGGACAAAAATGTGTCTTATGGACACGTCTTTATTCATTGCTGAGTGAGTAACCTACAAAATTCTTATCCTGAGATTCCTTATAATATGAAATCATTTTGACTTTCCTGCTTAATGTTTTATACATAATTATGTTAGTTTACTTGAGAAAAAAGCCTACTCTTTACAATTATTGATCTTGCTGTGATTTCAGTTTATAAAATGGTTTGTGTTAATAATTCGGTCTCGCATACAATTACCACTCAATCGAATCGTTTGATTGCGTTTTATGTACTTGTCAGAACCGTATTTAATTCAAGAATTTGACTCCTGTTTATAACCAAAAATCTAAAAACTCATTATCCACAGTAGTCACATCTAGTTTTTTTTAGAATTATGAATACAAGCTAAAATTTACTTTACTATTAGTCAAAAATATTGAATCCATCATTATAGAATCCATTATTACAGGGCCTGACAAGTGTGGTATTAATTATGTATAAATAATTTGCTGATATCATACTGCGAAAATCAAGAAAAAAAAAGTGTAAGCAAGTTGACTCTGAAAAAACAGTCTAGGTTCCGTTAGGATCTTAGGTACATTGAATGACTCCTCAACCTTTTCTGAATCCGTAAACGCTACCACATGTGTTGCTAGCTAACAATATTTTTTATTTCGTAATACCAGAGCTGTTTAAAGTCTGTCGAACAACCGGGCACCTTAACATTTGCTGTCGTACAACCAACACTTTAGAACGTTTTGTCATACAAAGACATTTTGTGGACCGAAAACTAAAGGTCTGTTACACTGTGGTGCTTGTTTGTTAATAATTTATTCACAAAACTAGATAACTCGTAGTGCTTTAGAGAGCAATCCACCTAAATATTTACCAGTGCATTACAATGCGAAATCCGCCCCCCCCATTTTTATTTATTTAGTTGGTTATGACCCACACAGCAACATCTGCGTATGCTAAGTAGGGTATCTTTATTAATAGGAATTGAACCCAATCACGATACCAAGAATCCATTCACTCTTCAATATCTAAATCATTCGTTTCTTATTACTCTTGTCTGCTTTCGTTCCTTAACTCATATACTTCTTGTACATTTCAACATTTTTTCCTTAGTTGTCAGAAATGTAGTATACAGAGTTCTGAGTAGACCGATTGGATGATGAACAACAAAGTAGAGGGATATTCTGCACTATGATCAAAGTAGTGGGCACATAAGTGTTTACTGACAGAAATTGGAGTGGTCAAATTCCAAGCACAGTAATGTGTGTAAGGAATTAACTCATTCTAACATCAGCATTGCATGAGTTTCGTGTGAAGTACGTTATTTTTTCCAGACAAAAAAACTACTATTAAGACTAAATCACTTAAAAAAGGAAAGATCTTTTAAATTTAGTGGTGTCGTCTCTAAGATCTGGTGGGGTACCTAAATTATTTCTGCAAGAATCGTTTGTGTCAAATAAAATAAAACAAAAAAAATGTACTTACCAGGACCTGACGAGGCATATATACGAATAGGAATGTCGTAAATAAAATCAACGATACCAGCAAAGAAGTCGAATAATAACCGGTTCACTTCAGGCAACAACTGACTGAGTTTATTCCTGGTGGTTATAATTGCGTTATATGGAGACATATTTTCCTCATTCTCTTTAAAAGAGAATGTTCGCTCTCGATTACTAGCGTATAAGTAATTTAAAAAGTGGTTGAAATTTTCTTTGATCGACCCATATGCAATGAATGGCAAAGATAAAAGTGAATTCCAGAAGTCCTGATGTTCGGGGATGATATTCTCGGCAAAATAAGCTAGTGAATACTTTGAATTTTTGGGAATATAGGCAATATGTTTATCCAACTCGTTAACCTGTGGTGTCTTTTCATTTTTGGCTTCAAAACGATAATGAGTTTCAGTACCGTAAAACTCTTTCGCATATGAGTCTTCGAGAGAATAGAACGGATCAGGAGAACGGATGACTTCGATACGTAAAACACCATAGTTAGGCCATGAACGTCGTAAAAAAGAATCTGATCCATTACCTTTTGACAAATAATTGGCATCCATAGTTATGGAGGTAAAAGATACACCTGAACCAGACTTTATGCTTTCAAATTCACTACGCAAATGATCCAAGCACGTTACTGGAGATTTTACAAATGTTACGTGAAGATGTATGAATACAACTAGTACGAAAACAGCCTGAAAAATAATTAAGCCAATACAATTTAAAATGTATAAAAAACGTTAGCACTTTAGTTACATTGGATATACTTATTCAATTAATTCCTAGCTAAACGAAGGGTAGGGGTGAAATGCATTGTGCACACTAAAGAAATAGACTATTTTTATTCCCATTTGGTGGAAAACAAAAAACACATCCACCTGTACCATTGCAAGCGGTTTTGAGTCATGCCATCTAAAGTATTCAACCATTGGCAACGATAATCACGCGGAACCCAACCAGGTAGTCTTTGCATCTATTGGCACATGTGTTATTTGTTCTTTATTACTTAAGTTATAGTATAATTGAGCATTATCATCATGGTGTTGCCAGTAGATGTATGTAGTCACCACATATCTGCTCTAATAAGTCAGTTTTTCATAGACATAGAGCAGAGCTGCTCTCACCGACATTTTGTAAACCTGGTGTTTTACAACAAGACTGATATCATAAATGACCCAGAGATGACAAACTGTCAGTCAGTCACAATGTACAATTCGTACTTATGTACATCAGTTTAAGTTGCCATACCCCATTAGCATAGAGTGATGAAGTTGTCAAGCCAATGTCAGAATAGTAGAGTTAGTAACAATATCAGAGGTAATAAGAGAGATTAGGCTCCTAAGTTATGACTCGAAAATGGAATATAAATTAGAAAAATAAAAACAAAAAAACGTTATGAAGAACTTAGAATCCCAGAATTTGGGGGAAAAGAAAAAACACGTGCACCTGTACCATTGCGAACGGTTTTGAGTCATGCCATCTAAAGTATTCAACCATTGGCTACGATAATCACGCGGATCCCAACCAGGTAGTCTATGCATCAATTAACATCCAATCATCGATGACTTGATGAATTGATGCCATGTTTTGATTTGGTGGAACGCACACTACAGAAATAGACGAATTTCCAGTCCCATATATTTTACTATGAAACTGCAGCGTTAACTTCTAATACTGCTGGTTACGAAATCTATTGAACAGTCAGTCAGTGACTGATTAATTAAGGATTACTAAATAACGATTTCTATCTATATAAATACTTCAACGTCCATACATATAGTTCCTTAAGGTATTTCAGAAGGATGGTCGTTTGGTATGGAAACCTATAGGAAATGAACTGATATTAATCCATAGTATAGTGACAACGCAAAGCAGATTATCAGATAAGGAAGAATTAGAAGTGACATTTTTGTAATACTGTATAGATCTGCCATTTTATTGTTCAAAACATTAGCGCCTTAAGTATAAACAGCAAGATGTAGACTAAGATGCTTATCTTCAACTTAACAAGTTATCCTAATGAGTCTTTTTTATTTATGTTTGCTTCTTAATCCCCCAGGACGTATTGCGTTTTAATTCAAATTTATAAAAACAAGTTGAAGACAAGCAAAACGAGTACATACAATTCGTACACTACTTATGTTGCCGTAATAACCGAACGAATTGTTTACAATTCTTTGTTTGCTTTCGCTAAAATGTAGAAGAACATTAAAACAATGGCCCAATGTTGTGATAGACTGAAGAATCCTTCCCATAGTATAGCTGATTGTCTAAACTATTATTCGACCTAACCAATAAAATCAAATTAATCTGACTCTGCAACCTACAATGTAAGGGTCAACTATAATAGATTATATGTTGAGAAACACAATTAATGCTAAAAGAGACAGCAATCCAAAAATCAATTTTTCCGGTTTAAATTTACATCAAATAATAAACGCGATCTTACTGCACATGCTTAATCACTTCTATTTGTGTAAAAAGTATGGACTCCTCTTGAGATTTCGATGCAAGAATGATCAAACATCCTGACTAATCCATTTTCAATTAGTCAGCACTAATAAACGACGCCATTTGCCAGTCTTCTGCGTAACACGCGTGAATAATCGTGTTTATAGACTTGTATCTTTGTTCTGGCATTTGCCTTTGGAATGTATCGTGTTGTGTTATATCGAGTGGCCCAAAATGAATTAGTTGGAGAGCAAAACTAATGTTTTCGGTCATTGGAATTAATTACTTCGAGTGACAGTCTTCAGGATTGTGCGCTTTCTCCATTTGTATTTAAATTAGTTATAGGCATGCTTTTAGAGACAGTGCTCATTGTCTGACTTTTCAGGAGTTGATCTTCTACCAGGAGACTCACTTGTTGGGACGTGTCACGTATGCACAACCACAACCTACCTCGACGGGCGATTTTGTACGGTGTGAGAGTACACTGGAGGAAAGCTAGGGACGGACAAACCAAAAACACCGCACCAATTCATGAAGACATCGACGACTGGACTGAGCCATTTGTCTTCCCCCAAATTCTGAGCTTCTGAATCCCTCATAATTTCTCTTTTCTGTAGTTATCAAACTAATTTATGTTTTCTTGAACTTTATTTTCGATACCTACTCTTTGCAGTCACCATTCACACTGTTACTACCTCTACAACTCTGAGATTTGGCCTGACATCATCTCTCTGTGCCGATGGGGTATGGCAACTTGGACTGATGTACATAAGTACAAGTTTTACATTGTGACTGACTGACTAACTAGCCAAATTTGATTGTACTACTCTTAATTGATTTTTTAACAATAATATCTCTTTATATGTGTAGCTCACACGTGTTTTTGTGTCCAGTTGTACAAGAATATACACCTCTAATAAGTTGGTATGATTGCCAGAATTCAGGCAATCGCATTACATATTTCAGCCTAGATCCACCTATCACAGGTTTGACCTTTAAGTGCTCGATCTAAGGTTTATAAATGGATTTTGGGTCCCATAATGTTATAGTAATTTATGCAGTTAAAAATTTGTTACCTGTACCAGAAACCCGAATTCGATGATGCGACGAGCAGTCAAAGGAAACACACGAATGTAACCAAGTGCAACTCGTCGAAAGAATACTTCAAATAAGTGAGCACGCGTATTTAGGACATTAGTTCTCAGAGAAATACGAGGTAGTTGGTTTACAGGCCTGCTGAATCCATTGAGAATAACCATAAGAGCAGAATAAATTTGATTTGATTGGATACTACAATTCAGCCTACAAAACCATGTTAGTATGGCAGATAAATGACAAATCATAGTGGGAACAGACATTATCAAATGAAGTGATTTATGAATTCGGTAAAAAATCAAATTACAAAACGATGGACACTTTGGGGAAAAGCTCACATCTCAAACTAAAAAGTGAAGTAACAGCTCAAGATGACGTTTGTTTAGCTTTAGCCAACTAGAGCCAAATTTGAGGCAGACTTTTTTGTTTGTTAGAATGATAATATACAGTCTTAAACCTGGTATTTGTTGTTCCACTACCGATGAACATAGGTTTTGAGCAAGGATATATTTGTGCATTGAAATTGGTCGATTGTAAGGATATTCGGACTATTCATGAAGTATGATGGAATCACAGAGTTAATAATATTGACGTTAGGTGTAGGGTTTTAATTAAACATTGATAAAGCTATGAATCTATGTCGTTTTATGTGGGTGCGGCATTTTATATATACTTATCTAGAGGCCATATTATTCAGCAGTGCTAGCTTGTTTATGAACCAATCAGAAGCTATGGAAAGGCAAATGAATATATATTGACGAAGTTATTAACTTAAATGTCTACAGAACTCAACTATAGGCAGATATCACAACCACTAAGTGTCAGAAACGTTTAACAAAAAACTGTTTCAATTTCCGGAGCACATTTCTGGATCATGATTGTTCTCATGCGATGACGTGTACTGCCACACATTACTAAATTTAAGGACAGTGCAACAAAACGAGTGGAAGTGGTACCAATGTGTATTTATGATTTAACTAGCTAAACACCTAGTCTGACACAAACAGCGGACAACTGTTAATGTTCATTAAAGAGACTAGGGTGTCACATTGTACTTCCCATGCTTTGATTTCATTTGGATCGTATCTTTCACGCTTAGTTTGTAGTCTTGTTAGTTCCCACTTACTGTGTTGATAAGAGATATGGCACTATGATTGGTACATCATCTATAACTTCCTGGCTGAGTGAATACTGATATCCTAAACGATTGAAGTTACTTTCCTCAGTGCCGACAGAAGTAATACAATGTGAAACACAGCATAAAAGAACTAAAATTAAGTTGCGACACTTTACATCATCACAGTGAGATGTATATAATCAATAAGTAAGGTTTAAGAGGGAAAATAATGATAGTAGGGGAAAACTACAAAAACATTAAATAGTGGATAATACTGGGGGAGTGGAACGAATATAATGATGTCGTTTTCGAGGCTTACGAGAAGTTAAAGGATGAATACAATTATACCTTTGTTGTCGATTGCGAGGTAAATCATAGTCTCCAAAAGTATAGGAATTGTCTTGCGAATGCGAATCAAGTTTGTACATTCCTACATGATCCACTGAGACAGTGAATTTCTAATTTCCAGCAACTATATTATCACCAAAACAAGCCAATCAATGCCGTGGAGTTACAATAATATGAGGGATTATATAACTCAGCTCTCCAGCAATGAATATAGGAGAATGAGTCGTATAGACACATATACGGTTTGCTTGTCAGAAGACCACCCACTTCCATATGGATATGTGAGCTCCAGTTCACAATGCAATTGGATCCAAATGCATTATACTTGTATCTTGAGTGTGAGTGGATAAATAATGAATGCGTGAGCTAAGACCTAAAACCTTAGAAGCATCTATTTGGGAATAAATATGAATGCAGAACTAAGGCACAAAAGTGTAAAGTACCACAGTCAACGACCAGAAGCGGAGCACTTCAAAGAAGCGCGATCCATTCACAAGGATTCCCTAATCCAAAAAAATTAAATCTTTGTTACAAACTTATACACCAGTTGATTTCTTTGAACCCATTTTTTGTTATTTCGGTACGTAAGCAGTTCTTAGCAAGTGTCCAATAAGCTGTAGTCTTATCACACGATAGCACTGGTTCATTCAGTTCAGTTTGTAGCGGTAAATAAATCCCCAAAATAAATAGCACTAAGTTTTCGACATTGGATGCTGACCATATGTTTTAGTGGACTCACCTAGCTGAAGGCGCTCGGTCAGGCATCCGCACCAGATCACGTGTGGTAACGCCGTGCTCAACATCAACCGCAATCGCTAGCCAGATTAGATCAGAGAATTCCGATATATTGGTCATCGCCAAATATACTCTTCCGATCTCCTCGACTCTGTCTTTTGATTTCTCTGGGCGGGAACGAAATATATTAGGTGTTACTGGTAGAAGCGTTGTCAAACACTGAATACCTGTGACATCATCACGTTTCAGCTTTAGTTTTGAAAGGATAAGAGGCTAGGTGGCTTGTCTTAGTCATGGCAATGGTGGTCTCTTTGGATCGACTTTCTTTCGAAAGCGTCGACAGATGAAGCTCCAATCACGTGTTAAATTAATGAATTCCATTCTTTGATAATTCTATGGGAGAGTCAATAGTCAGCTGACAAGTAATTTGTACTGGACTCGTGAACATTTCTAGAGTATCTTCATAAAGTCTCTGATTTGGAAGATAAGAAATATGAGGGCATATCAGATGCAAATTTATCACTAAGCAGTTAAAAAACTGCGATCACGTCACCTCTGGTTCTTCTATATGACAATGAAAATAAGTTTGGTTCAGCCAGTCAAGCACCATGTGGGAACCTTGCTAACCCAAGAATCAGCTTATTTGCGATCCTTCGGATTTTTTTCAATGGTTCGCCGTCTCTTTTTAGGCAGTGAATAGCTGCTTGTACGCAGTACTCCAGGTTAGTACGAACGAATACTGTATATAAAGTCCAAAGAGTTTTAGCATCGACATGGCGAAACGCTCTACGTATTGACCATAGGGTTCTAAAACATTTGACAGCTAGCGCCCGGCAGTGTGCCGTAGTTTCCAAGTCCTGGCTAACAATGACTCCTAAGTCATTGTGTGTCTGGACAACAGATAGTTCAGTGTTATTCACTGTGTATGTATCTGTACCATGTTGACCGATATACACCAAAATTCACTTGGAAGCACTTATCAGGAAATGCCAAATTCTATACCATTCAGATCATTTCTCCAGGTCGTTTTGAAACTCCAAACTATTACCTTTACCTTTTATCGCTCTTCATGTCGTCAGTATATAACGAAACGAATGATGATAGGAGACTAGGAAGGTCATTTACACACAGGATAAACAGCACTGTACCCTGGGATACCCTGTTAAGTGCAGTTTCCCAGCTAGAGAACTTTGAGTTCATTCGTACTCGATGCTGGCGTCCCACTAGGCAGTTCTTTATCTACATAAATTAGTTGCCTCTAATTCCGATATCAGCTAACTTGTATGACAGCCAGTCAACAGATGAACTTCCAGTCACGTAGTTTGTTTTGGGGGATATTGAGTATCCCCAACAGCATAATTTTATTTCCAAACCATTCAGCATCTCGCTTTTGTTAAGTGTTCTGTCCTGTCTAGGCGGTTTTAGGTACCTGATTATTTGATTTCATGAACTGTTTCATAAAATGCGAGGTTTTATTCAGGTTTCTTTGTGCCACATGTGGCATTTACACTTTCCTATTTCGTCTCAGTATAAAACTAACTGGTAGCTGGTGCATCAATTGCATTATGAAGACAAATATTTCATCTGCGAATTTCTTCATTATAATTTGTAACTTTTCTTTTTTAAGTTGTATATTTATCCATCCCTTTGCATTATTTTTTGCAGACATTTTGTATATCCGTTCTGTTAAGATATTCAAGTCAACAGCTTGTGGTTGTAATAGGTAAGTAATTTACTGTTAAATCACTCGGGTTACTAATTTGAATTAGTATATCACTCTTGTATGGTTTAGTTGTTGTCAGAAGTTTATTCACAACTTACCTTGCAAACACTAGTTCTCTAATTAATTTTAATATATGTGAACTACAGCTGCAAAAAAACTACATGACTATCATACTGAAGTAAATGAAAAACAACGACATATTTGAATGTGTATATCTGATTGGGCACTTATTTTTTAGGTATATTATTGCAAAAAGTAATATACCTTTAACTTTTTTCTCTGTATTTTTTGCCAGTCTGGTTTTATGAAAATTAATGATTTTATGGTAAATTGGCTCACTTCCATTCTAAATAACAAACAAATTGTAGTTGTTTTGACTGTTCCTAGTTGTATTGTCTCTATGTTTTACTAATATTAAGAGAATATTTACCGAAGTAACTCAAAAGAAGCGTGTTCAGTGTCTAAAAACAGTCGTCAATAGGAACTTCAGGTGTTTGGTTTTAAAGTATCTTTCCATTTTTAAGAGGCTTGTTGTCTGTATCAATAAAAATTATTTTCTGTCAATTAGCTATACTTTTTTTACTCGTAAGTTGAGTCGTTACTCACTGTTCCATATGAATATAAAGGTGTTTCCATAAATTTCGTGGATACGTACACAAATGACAACTTGGTTTGTTTTTCCACTAATTTTATCTTCCGGTATTTGTGTTCTAGCTGATATTCTCCAAATGTTTGAAACGAATACCTCGTTTGGGATTCCTGTTGCCCCATTTATGACAGTGATTCTTGCTCTTGTTGGTAAGTTATGCATTATAGATGTGGTTCTTTAAATTCTTGTTTTATAATATTTCTGTATAACTGTTTTGACTCTGTTGAATAATAGTGCTTTTAAATGTTTTTGATAATAACATGTGTGGTCAGAAAAAAACAGTGTGAATCATCAGTATAACAATATTGGCCCCTTTATGGATTAATACACTTTTTACCAATGAACTCGTAGCGTGGCGTCGAGTTGGGATTAACTATGAACACCGCTACCAAGAAACACGTGCCAAGTTAATCAGAAGGCGAAGGTAGAACGTAACCAAATAAATCCATAAAATCCCCGAGAAGCCAAATATCAGAAGACAATTAATGGGCCAAATCGCGATATATTTGCTGGCGATCTCGTGGCATCGAAAGGATACCGAGATCGTGCCAGGATACAAGCTTGGTTACAGAACGTAACCGAATTCGCGCGAAGTCACAATCAAAAGTGTAAGTATATGAATGGAAGCACAAAATAGCTGTCATTAGCACAGTCAAACAAAAGCACGTTAAAACAAACACTGGCACAGTTGGTTATAATAATAATTGTTTTTATTAAACCAGTCGTGTTCTCGTGATAAATGTGAGTCACTACAAACGTTTCAGGTTATCTTGAGTTATGTTTGTAGTATACTTCAAAAATGAATGATATCCATGATTCGTTAAGTTTGCCACTCGTTAATGGTTAGAACGTGGAATATGGTAACTTTTTCTATGTGCTGTATTTTTCTTATGAGATAATTAGGCTATATCTGCTTTATTAGTACAACCATGCAGTATTACGGTTAAAAAAGATGTTTCGGTCTACTAATTAGCTATCCTTTGACTCTACATATTTGGGCTTGTAAATTTATTTATGATTAACATCTCAGCTTGTCGCAATAAAGTCTCTAAATGTTTATCGTGTTTTATTGACTCACATTGATTTACATACTTTTGTTTCCAGTGCTCTAGTCTTCAGTCACTCATAATATTTACATATTTAGTTTCTTTCATTTCTTGGGTGCCTGGGATTCTAGAGTTAGATTAGCTGATGACTTTAATCATGGTCATAATTCATTCTCGTGGTGTAACGTTTACTTATTATTTACTTTAAGTACTTTCTGATCGATTTTGCAATGATATTAATAAATATTTATTGTTGACCTTTAATGTGATGTAGCAAGTCCGTTTTCCATCCTAACGCAAAGCCTACCAATTGTTTATAATTTCCAGCCATGGAAACTATCATGTCTGAATTTTTTGGAGATTCAATCACTGCGTTTTATGTTATTCTCATTATAAGCGTTTGTGATCACTATGAAGCTGTATTTTGTCGTACTGAATTAAGCAAAAGATATTGGCCAAGGTTAGTGAATTTTTACATTATACTGCGCTTATAGATAATCTTCAGCTGAACGTTTGTTCTATAGGCAGCTTCGTTTGGTTTCTGACTTTAATTTTATTAATATTTGAATAGTGTTACGTCACTCTCATTTTCAGTCTACTTAACCGTTGTTGTATACCTAACGCTTTCCATAATGAAAAGAAAAGAAGATTAGTCTTTCGTTTATTTTTGAGAACTATTTAAACAATTAAGTTGACGACTTTTTTCTTTTCGGCCCACTCTATAATTTTATGCGTGTTCAGCGTATCACGAATGATTCGTCTTAGTATTGAAAAATAACATAATCTATCACTTATGACGACTGATAGATTCGGTTCTTTTTTAAGCTTAGAAACCTAAAGAAGAGAAAATCTTTTAACAGCAATCTTCACCATACCTAAGTGAAATTTGATTAAGGTTAAATCGTTGTTTTAATTATTCACTGACCATTTACTTGAAAAAACAAACAACCCTTTTGGCGAAGTAAGCGAAGTGTGATGATTACAGACAAAAGTCGCCAATACATTGCATCTTAAAAAGTGGCAAATATGTTTTTGATTTTCTGGATCTTTATATTCTTCCTGTCACTTGTAGTATTTTCAAGATGTCAAGTAATGTATGAGAATTGGAAAGAAATATTCAAGTTATTCATTTTTAGGTTTTTAAATTACTGAATCATGTATTATTTCATTCAGGAAGCCCCCTACAAAAATGCGTTTCGTTTCTGGTTAACTAGATCTAAAGTCCCACCAAATGAACCTGTCGTAGTCTAAAAGTTATGATATCTTATTTATCTACGAGATATATAGCTGCGCTTGTGTTTTAGAATCTGGTGGTGGATTTATTTTTAAATGACCTTCATTGTAACGTGATCTGAGTATGGAAATATATTGTGTTATGGCTTTAGGTTGCGGTCGATTTTTACCCTGTGCTAATTGTGTCCTTGACTGGAAAATTAGAGAGCAGCGTACTTATCGATCGATTACAGTGACACGTAAACACGAACGGACAGTCTAGAGTCTCGATTGGTCCCACTTCCCTGTCTAGCCCAGTTAGTTGAGTCCAGAACACAAGCCACAGCCTCGGAGATATGAATCATTATATTTCAAACATACTTTGTTTATATACCAATCAAGCATACCACATCGTACCATAAAATAGAAAACAACATTTTGTACAATATTCAACAAGTGAACAGATATCGACCAATAGGAAATATCCATTTAAAGTCCAAGGACACCATTGGACTTAACATGATAATTATTGGTCTATTCCTCCGTATCCACAACATATTGTTAATAAGATCGCACCATCTTTTTTATGAACATACTGTTGTTTATTGTTTCCGATAAATCTCCCTCCAATTCACCATCTAGTTACCGTTTTTCGTTAAACAATATTTAAGAGAAATTCTGTAAATGTACTATTGGTTCAGGTTAGAACTATGGAGTTTTTATAATAATCAGATTCATGAGTATTTAACTAGTGAAACAGTCCTAAATTGTATCACGTTGTACATATTCACACTAGCGATTATTAATAACCTATATACTTAATTCCACTTCTCATAAAAGCCTAAATAAAATTAAATAATCTTCAAGTTATATATTCAGTGTAGTACTAAGTTTTTTTCACTTTGTTTTTAAGAGTTAATTTCTGGATGTTGCTCTGTCTTACATTTATTTGTAATTTTTAAATTTTATCAGGTACTTCTACTTGTATCATTTTGGATTTTATGCCTACCATTATCGTTTCAATGGGCAATTCAGCGGTGTTGCTCTTTGGGTTTCCTGGCTGTTTATTTTGCATTCAATGATTTATTTCTTCCATCATTACGAATTACCTAACCTGCTTAGTGATTGGGAATTCCGTGAATTCGTTTCTAATAATCAACTTGTAGGTCAAATTCAGCTACAAGTTTCCACACCATCATTATCTGTCCGGAATAGTCAGGATGCTTCCAGCTTAAACCATTCTATCAACTCTCATGAACGAACAGAGTCGTTAGGTGACTTAAGAACTACTGTTGGGGATTCAGACAATCTCGAGTCAAATGAATTGTCTAACAATATTTTCACTGTTACAAGTTCAGTACCTACTTTTAGTGGGATTTCCGGTGAAATCGAAGCTAATCGAAGTGATTTACTTTCTAATAATACTGCATTAGCTGATTCTCCCACAACTTCTGCTAATTTAAATCACCTAGAATAATAATTTATGATCTATTGACATTTGTACTTTTGTTATTTTATGTTTATTTAATGTAATATCCCATCTCTATGATTTTTCACATTTACGCTAGAAAATTGAGGTTTCTCACTACTTGGAATTTCAAACGGGTTGAGAAATAAAGTCATCTATTCTGGGCTTAGGTTCCTTTCATTTATTGATTATTAGAATGTTCCGGTTTTTATCGTCTATTTAGGCTGTGGAGATGCTAGGTGATCAGACTGAATAAATTTGAATTTTTTAAATTAATTCCACAGAATATATATACTTGGTATTGTTTGTTTGTATATTCCCATTGTGTAGGACTGCAATTGATCAGTCTCCTGTTGGCATGTGTGCATCCTGTGTGGACTGCCTCGATATTGAGAAAATAATGTACAATGAAAATTTTGGTTCCTCGTAAACCTCATCGTTCTTTTTATCGTCTTTTCCAGCTGTCCTGGAAAAGGAAAAAAGAATATGTTAGTGCATGTCCAGATAAACTCGTACGCGCATTAAGACACAAAATGGGCGAAATAACGAAAATAGCGTAAAAGCGATTTTTACATAATGTTTTTTGTTATTTTTTAAAATACATTTTTAATATACATATTGGCAAAATAATAAATATATATGAATATAAGCATATAAAAATCCATTTTTTTAAATATTATATATAATGCTATGGAAAATCGAGATGAAGCAAAATATTAACTGGTGTCTTACGTGCTCTAGTTGTTTAAATGTTCTGGAAATCTTACTCTTCTTCAAGAACGCGTTGTTTTAAGTTTATTTTCTGATACTGTCGAAATATCATCGTGTGTGTTGGCTGTCGAATGAAGTATTATAAGTGTAGGAGTCGTGTCGTGCGATTGTATCGAAGGAAAGTCGACATGAATATGATTTCCTTCTAAATACGCTACTTTGAGGTAATCGATGCTGATGATATCGTTTGTTCCGTTCTTATCGACTATATAGTACTTGGGTTCGCGTTGAACAACTTTGAAAGGCCCTTCGTATGCTGATTCGGGAGGTCATCGATGCGAGTCTCGACGTACGAAGACGTGTGTATTATATCGTGAGTCAGGTTGAACGAAAACATCAGTTGATTGAGGTCGAGTGGAAACAGGTTTAACTGAACGCATTGCGTTTGTTAGCCTGTTCGTGTAGGAGGTTAGATCCATGTTCATTGAGGAAGATGAAGGATCCACGAATTCTCCTGGAAGTCGAAGTGTAGTTCCATAAACGAGTTGAGCCGCAGTGTATCCAATGTCAGCTTTTACTGCATTGCGGATACTTAATAAGATGAGTGGAAGAGCGTCAGTCCACTGTGAAACGTTTGCAGCTGATAGTGAAGCTTTTAGTCGTCGGTGAAAACGCTCTACCAACCCGTTTGCTTGTAGGTTGTAGGCGGTCGTTCGAAAGCGAGTGATTCCTAAAAGTGTGGTCAGACAACGGAAAAGTTCGAACTCGAACAGGCGTCCGCGGTCTGTAGTGATGGTTGAAGGGCAGCCGAAGTTTGCTACCCATCGATCGACGAAGATGAGAGCCATTGTTTCAGCAGTGATGTCCTTGATAGGTACTGCATCTGGCCATCGAGTGAAACGGTCTACGCAGGTTAAGAGATCAAGTATCCATTTGAATCTGGTAAAGGTCCTACCAAATCCAGATGAACATGGTCGAAACGGACATAAGAGGATTTGAATGAGGCTAAAAGACGTTTGTTATGTCTGATAACCTTAGATTTTTGGCAGCTTACACAGGAGCGTGCCCACTCCCCCACGTCGTTATTCATACCAGGTCAACGAAACCATTCTTCTATGAGCTTGATGGTTGCACGAACACCTGGATGAGAAATTTTGTGCAACGTATTAAAAACGTTGCGTCGATAACGCTTCGGCACGATTGTGCGATCCCTACCTGTAGATGTGTCACAAAGTAAGGTTTCCTTAGCTGTTCCCATCTGTTTGATGAACAGCTTGAGTGTTGTAGACGATAACTCGTGCTGACGATCAGTGTCTTCTTTTTGAAGCTCGGCGAGTTCAAGAATGTCGCCTCCTTGGAAACTGTTCAAGGAAGTTATTCGAGACAAGGCGTCTGCGATCACATTGTTTGCTCCAGAGATGTGTTGAATATATGAAGTAAATTGCGAAATGTAGTGCAGTTGTCCAGACCCATATAGTCTGAAGAGGAGCTTAGAGCGAAAGTAAGTGGTTTATGGTCAGGGAAAAGGGTAAATTCACGGCTTTAGATACAGTGTTGAAAATGCCGTACAGTACAATACGTAGCTAGGAGTTCCCTACCGAATGTGCTGTACCTCGATTCAGTGTCTAGCAACCCAGTGAAATCAGAAGTGAATAGATTCGAAGATATATTTGATAGATTATCGAGAAGAGTTTTATGTAAGTTGACTAGTTACTGTAAGAAATGTGCAGCACGGAGTACCCACTCGTGACCGGGTGCGGATGCATGAACGGGCACCTTCAGCTAGATGAGTCCAGTAAAACTAGTGCGGTCAGCATCAAATGAGGAAGATTTACAAAACTATTTCTCTCGAAGGTTTATTTACCTCAACACGTGCTCAAACCCGTTACCTGTTTCTTCACTTTTGACGTTTTAGCCCCAGTGATGAGTAAAATTATTTGAATTGATATGTAACTTAAGGCCATTCGAGGACAAATTTCCATTGCTATTACGCTAACTGCAGAATTTCAGGAATGTCTTACCCGTACTCTATTAGTAATGAACAGACAAGAATCTAATTGTGAGGAAAGTCAGTGAATGCATGAGTAGCATAATAATGTTCAAAGTGATCATCAAATAGCATATGCACTATTACCTTAACAGTGTCAATGAAGATCCGAACTTCTAAGCTTTATTGTACGTTTTCTCTGCAGGTTTGTCGAACGTATGTGTGACTCTGCATTTTGTATAAACCACGTATTATTTGGTTGCTGTAGATTCATTTGTTCAACATGTCGGGTGTTTGCAATTAAATCATTAGCATCTAGAAGTAACATCTGAGATCTCTCAACATCCATGTCCAAAACCCCCATGGATCGTGGAAAATCACTTTTTTTAATCCATCCTCTTAATAATTTTTAGGGAGTCGTTGCCTTTAAAGAACGCTTAGAATACATATATTACAGCAAGTACGCTTTTACTCCGCTCTCCAGTTCATTAAGTGTTATAGTATGTAAAGTTAAAATAGTCTATTGAATTGCTATCACTCTAGATGAAGTCAGAACTCAGATCTGGACGGGTTATCAATAAACATTGTGATGCCTTAACTGTAACAAAAATGCCTATTGAGCAAACCTTGCACTGGTAACAGTGAAGCGCATTTTTGGCCACTTTGACGTTAGAACTTTCCACATAATCTTCGACAATTTTATTCGTCCCCATTTACAATACGAAAACATAGTATTTCATCAATCACTCCAAAAAGATAAGAAACCTCTGGAGCGTATCCAACGGCGAGCCACGAAATCAGTTCGAGGACTCAGAATTAGGACTTATGAAGAGCTCTTCCAATCACTTAATCTTTACCGATTACAGTACAGGAATCTTACAGGTGCCCTTCTAATGGCTTACAATATCCTTAACACTTCTGGACATCTTAAACACCCACTTAAGTTTAGCTACTATACAAATTAAGGGGTAACACCCGGAAACTAGAGACACAACCCAGAAGAACGAAGTATAGACACAACTGCTGCTCCTTAAGAGTTGTCAAATGCTCGAATTCGCTGTCGGCTGATCTAGTTCAAGCGCCTTCCCAGGAGTCCTTTAAGAGGCAACTTGACCTATTCTTAAGGACTAAGGATAATATCTTACTATGATTTACCAATTTCTTTCTCCTGTATTATCGTTAATATACCTAGGTTCCTGCCTGGAGGTATTGGCGATCCATTGCTACTAGACAAGTAATCCCGTTAAGCGAAAGATTATTCTAATCCGTCTACAATTATTGAAACCATTTAAATTCACTCACTGGTAGTGTTCGAATGGATTTTAGGAGCACTTTTTTAAAAGCGTTAAGAGCGACCAGTTACGTTAAGTTACCTACTAGAAATGCTTTTTAAGAACCTTTCAATGGAAAATTACTGGAAATAATGGTGGGATGATAATGGCATCAGTGAAATGATTAACAAACTAGAACTCAATTAAGTTCTAGTTTTGCATGGAACTTTGTCGTTTTTTAAGCTTCGAAGCATCTGAGACTACAGTCTCAGATGGTGATCGTGCTTCGACTGTTCGTAACCACGGAAAATCTACATTACCACCAAAAGTTGTCATCCTGTGAACCAACCCAGTCTTCCGATTTTGAGGTTTCTCCGAGTCATAAGACCAATGGGTATCGCTGAAAAATTCCAATCATATTAAAACACAATTATATGAATACAGAATATTCTTTTCGAAAGTTTCTCATCAGGTTCTAAAATCATATATATCCAAACTAATAATCCATAAAATCGGCCAGGTTCAGGGCAGAGTACATCGTTCAGAACTGTAACATGTGATACAAGGATTGTTTGTCATATAAAATAAAATCGTTAATTTTTTGGTGACTGGTATAAAGTTTTAACCTAAATAAGTTTATGCATTGAATGCGACTGTAAGATAAATGATCAGAATAAATATGGCCAACATGGAGTGAGAGAGAACAATGTAATTGCCAATCGGAAATTACGTAATATGTAGAATAATATGAATTAGGCAAGAACCAGTAAATAGGGGTGGATGTTGAATAAATATCTCAAAAATGTTAGCAAGTAGAATAATAATAAGTGACAACGGTAAGATGTGTGGATAAGTTAAAAAACAAATGAACATTAATCCGATAACGTCACCATATCACGAAATTGATTATTAACTAGTTGGGCCTGAAGTTGACCGAGTAAAAGGAGCGGTTGAACATATTTCGTTGGGATGCAAAGTTCTGGCTTTTTGATCCGAATAGTAGTTGCTTTAGCCGTCTGCTGGATTTTATTTTACATGACAAACAAACCTTGATTCAAATGCTACAATTTTAAATGATGCTCTCTGCCCTAAACCTGACCCATTTTATGGATTAATAATTTAGATATATAATTATAGGACCAATAGGTATGTTGGTAATTTCCTAAAATTTAGGTAATAAAACCCCAAAATCTTGCGCAGTTCTGTGAACATGAATTTACTATTTAGGGTACTGCTTAGGCCTTCTACAACAGATTTTAATATTCTGTTACATGATAATCAAGTTCACCACGCATTCCAGTACCACCGTTTTTACCTTGCTTTAGTACGTCAAATAGACACGAGAGAAAATGGCGTCCGTTAAACGCCACTCTTAAAAAAAACAAGCCACGAAGGTGAGTTGCTGTTACTGTTATAAACTTCGACTACTCCTTCTGCCGAGCTTGACTGCAGATGTTTCTTTTAGACTAATAGTGAAGAATGCAACGACAGAGATGAGTGCGATAGGGACCAACAAAGATTCATAGTTGAGGCAAGGCTGCTAATGCTGAATGACATGTCATTGGTTTGCCACAAGAACAAGGTCATGTAAGTCGGTTCTCTGATTGTCGATTTTGACATATTATACTCGGCAGATGAAATAGCCATAACAAGGAGCAATCAAATAGCTACGGAGATACAACTTGATGTTGTTCGTAATAATTGAAAACTATTGTACTCAAACTGAACGGAAAAGATTAGATTCAGGCGAGATTGTTGTTGTACTACGGTCTCAAAGAAAAAGCTTCACGCACGAAAAGAATTGTTCTGATGTTGTCCAAAGAAGCACGAATAGCACATATAAGATAGGAATCTAATGGATCCAGGATTATCAAAGCATCCTTCATAACAAAGAAGTGAAACCAAACGAGTGTTTTCCATTACTATGCACTCAACAATGATAGCAACGACGACGATTAAGTTCAGCATTATGAGAAACAGCTATCGATTGTACAAAAATGACCAAGAGAGGACCTGAGAATCCTGATGGGAGATCTAAACACTGAGTATGAATGTATATTATTTAATATCCAAATACAAAATATTTCACTTCAGCTAAACCTAGTGCTTCTAAACGCGTGGAAAATAAAAATACTGGAAATATGAAAAACCGAACCAGCAACATAGAACCTGTCACTTAACTTGATAAGCTCTCAATCCCACAGTTCGAAACAATGTACCTGAGAGAGATATACATATATTAAAAATAACGAGAATAAGTTGTGCGGACGAAAGAAACAAAACGAGTTAAGACAAATTAGTTATAGGCGGAACAATATTCCTACAAAGACGCATACGTCAAGCTACATGGGTTTCACAGGATCACACCACAGACAACCAGATAGATCATATTTGTATCAATAAAAAATTCAGAAGGACAATGGAAGACGTGAAAACTAGGAGAGGAGCTGACATAGCTTCATATAATCACCTGGTTGTGTCCAGGATGAAACTGAAGCTAAAAAAACAATGGACTGCCGGGGAAACAGTATTACAAACGCTTAATACAGCTTTCCTTCGAGATACTAACAAACTGGTCGAAGTCAAGATAACCCTCAACAACAGTTTCCAAGCCTTACAGGATCTACTGAAAGGCTGCTTACTCTCCTTCTTCTGATGGTCGACTGGATTATGAAGACCTCGATATCTGAGGGGAAGCACGGAATACGATAAACAGCTCGGGATCAATTAGAAAATTTGAAATTCGCAGATAACCTGGCCCTTCTATCTCATACACACGAACAAATGCAAGTGAAGGCAACTAGAGTAGCAACAGCCTCTGCATCAGTAGGCCTCAACATACACAAGGGGAAATGCAAGATCCCTAAGTACAAACAACGAACACCAACCCAATCACACTTGATGGGGAAGCTCTGAAAGAAGTTGAAACTTTCACGTACCTGGTCAGCATCATCGATGAAGGTGGAGGATTTGATGCGGACGTAAAGCCAAGGAAATCATTACTAAGATTGAAGGATATATTGAACTCAAAACAACTGTTAGCCGCAATCAAAGTCAGAATCTTTAATACGAACGTAAAGAAAGTTTTACTGTACGGAGCTAAAACTTGGAGAACTACAACCATTACCAATAAGGTATAAATACTTCTAAACAATTGTCTATGCAACATACTCAATATTCGTCTACCGGAAACCATCATCGACAGCCTACCGTGGGAAACAACAAACCAGACTCCAGCTGCAGAGGAAATTAGGAAAAGACGTTGGAAGTGGATACGACCTACATTACGGAAATCACCAGACTGCATCACGAGGAAAGCCATAATTTAGAATCCTGAAGGGAAGCAGAAAAGAGAAAGACCGAAGAACACACTACGTCGGGAAATGGAAAGAGATATGAGAAGGATTAACAGCAAGTGGAAAGGACAGCCCACGACAGAGTTGGGTGGAGAGTGCTGGTGGGCGGCCTATGCTCCTCCGCGACGGGTAACAGGTTTAAGGAACAGGGACTTTAACCGTGATATCAAGAGACATATAAGAGCCAACCCTAGCATGCAAAAAGGGTGTAACAGACCTAAGTAAGCACGTATATACCAGCTTATGCAACATAACAAACGCAAAATAATTTTGTCCGCTACGAAAAACAGTTCGAATCTTTATATATATAAATAAAACAGACCAAACTTAATTAATAAAGCTTAAGTAGAAAATACTAAAGAGGTAACGTTAGCTTCAATGAGAAAAAACACAAGTCTTATTCAAGACGATTTTTCATATTGAACAGTTACATTAACCGAATGAATTCAACTACATTGAACTCATAAAGATCTGTCAATTTGAGTACTAAGAAAATAGATTAGAAACACAGATACACATAAATTTTAGAGGAGATTTAGGAACATTCATCATCTGTAAATTGTTATTGTCCGGATGGTATAATTGAAATATAAAGGACCAATAAAGAAGCCAAACTCCGAAGACTAGCTGTTACAGCAACCCACGTTTTAGACGACTGATAAGATGGACCATTTTCAAAGCCGGACCCAATTTAATCTTCATATAATTACGCAGTGATTCCATGCTAAGAAGAAGAAGTGCTTGGCCATCTATTTCCTGTAACAAAAGAGTTATAATACATCCACTTACTATTTTTAAAATCTTCGTACACATAATACAATATCAAATTTATGGATGCATTGACCACACAGTATATTTGCAGAAAGATACAAACTTTACAATGAAAAAAAGGTACGAATACTTAATGTATAACTATAGAAAACCATCATAAGTGTTCGTTTAACGACTCAAGAGCTAATGATGTGCCTTTACTAGACAAGTAAAGTCTGAGGGTTCTGACCGACTTTAGCTAATTTTATTTAGAAAGGCGAATAGTGCCGTTAATGCTCACAATATATATACTAATGCTTACTACCTATAAATCGACATACGGTAGCAAGTTCTACGTGCATCATAATGTAATGTGGTATGGCAACTCAAACCGATATACTCGTATGTCAGGTTCTACCTTGCGTATAACTGAATGACTGGTATTACAACTACTGAAATTAGATCAAATAAAGTACTAGAAGCGGTCATCAATTCGGACCAACCAGAGACTCCAATATTAATATATCATTTTTCACTAGTTTATTTAAAATACAGCTAAATTATAGTATGAAAATAGCTAGTGAAGATACTAGTACTAAAGATCTATTCGTCAAAAACAGTTCTTGACCAGCTGCAACATAAAAAATTCGTCACTAGTGTGTAAAGAGGTAAATATTGCGCATAACCGGTGAATATAGCTAACATGGATTGTCATAATTGGAGGTCTATTGAAAAAAGCAAACTTATTATTCTCTTTGTAATAAACACCAGCATCAGTATTAACTGACGGTTTTTCAACTAATTATAAGACTAAAAAACTTGAAAACTGCATGACTAACTGATGTGATGTGTGCACCACGATAAGAGGTATTTTTAATATCAAAGTATCGGTGTTACAATACAAGGTTGATTGCGAACGCTACTCAAGTTTTTAATCCAGCAGTGATATGAAAAAATGTGACATGCTAGGTTACAAAAGATTTCATCCAGAATTAAAAACATCCTAAATTAGCATATTGCGTTTTCCAGTCTCAATTTGATACTTGACCTACTTCGTGGGACTTCTGGATTCTTGCACACAAAGCACCGTTCGTGCTGAAAAAAAACACCATAACATAAAACCTGAGGACCAGTAATTATTTGTAAAATAAGAGAATGGCCCACTTTGGTTTGAGCTATGGAAATAAGTAAGAGAAAGCGGACAGTATTAACGATGACAAAAAACATACATGATGTTTGAATTTTTCCGCTGCTTCAAGGAGAGTAGCATCACGAGCCGTAATGTAGTTGTATACTTCTTCAATAGTCCACTGAGTAGGATTAGGAAAAGGAAACGATCCTAAATCTGAAATTTTATACACAAACAGTTAAAACTGATGAGTGAAATGTCTCTTGTTAGTCGTCTGATACATAATTTTGATAAGTGAATTATGGCCAGCAACTTCAAACTATCGTTTGTATGCGTATTGTGTTTTTCTTTGTCTAATATTTTTCGACCAATATACTTCACTTGACTTGAAGTGACTGACAGTTGGATAGGCTTTATCGAAGTTAAACGTAGAGTACTCATTATGATATTGGATCAGTTATTGTGAAATTTCACCAGCTAAGATATCTGAGACATGAATTGAGAGAATACAGCCTTTCCATAAGTCGATCCATAATATAGTAAAATATTTACATAAACAATAGAATAAAAATCTTTAAAAAATACATTTTATTTAATTATTTGCTACTTCCGATATGAATAATGGGAAACTGTGGCCTTGATATTTGCCTGTGAGATAGATCAAAAGCGTCTTAAAGTATTTGATCCCGAAATTCATACACTAAGCAACAAACCACCTTAAGTAACTCACTATAATCTTATCTTCAGAGATATTTGTAGTTCTAATGATAGAGGTGTTTTGTGTACACCAATAAACTAACAATTAGTTACTACATGAAGTGATATAATATACTGAACTGTGTTTTTAACTTTTTAAATATAAGAATTAAATCCTAGTCACAGTCAGTCAGTAACAACGTAGAACTTCGTACGTACGTACGTACATCAATTCGAGTTGCCACACCACATTAGCACAGAGATGTAGTGGCCGATTCAAATCCCGTAGTGGTAGAGGTAGTAAGAGTATAAGCAGTAATCAGAAAAACTAGGGTTTGAAGATGTTATTCAAGGAGTATAATACAGTGAAATAAATTTGGAAAGAGGAAAAAAAGGACATGAAGAATTCAGAAGATTAGAATTTGGGAGGACACGAAGAGTGGATGCACTTGCACCAGTGCAAACGATTTTGATCCATGTCATTTAAGGTCTCTAACCATCGGTTGCTATCGTCTCGCAGATCCCAACCAGGTAGTCTACACCTGACAACATGGCGCAGTCCATTTGTCAGTGACTTCATGGACTTGTGCCATGTTTTGATCTGGCTGCCCCTAGCTTTCTTCCAACCCACTCCTACACCAGAAAACATCGCACGTCGTGGCAGTCGGTGGTTGGAATACGTAACACATGTCCCAGCCATCTCAACTGATCAAGTTTCACTACTTCATCAATCGATTTGCCATCCTTACCTAGTACCCATTTCCTAACAACTGCATTGCTTACTCGATGGTCCCGGGATATACGAGCAATGTTTCGAAGACACCTATGATCGAATACTAGTAACCTACGAATATCCTTTACTTTTGCCGGCCATGTTTCACTGCCATAAAGTAGGACGGGACAAACTGCTGTGCAGTAAACACGTCCTTTGGTTGATAGACGGATATCTCGCCTACGCCATAAATGACGCAAGTTGGTAAAAGCTAGTCGAGCCTTCTGTATCCGTGCTGAGATTTCGTCACACACTAGACCATAAGGTCTGATGAGACTCCCAAGATAAGTGAAGCGATCGACACGCTCAACTACTTCACTTACTATCATTATTTCGGGTGTGGATGCAACCCAATCCTGAAGCAACATTTTGCATTTCGAGGGGGAGAATCGCACCTCAAACATCCTTGCATTGCTGTTTATAGTGGTCAGAAGACTCTGCATTCCGTCAGCGTCTTCACCAAATGTCATCCGCATATTCTAAGTCAATAGGTGAATCTCCAAGTAAAAGTTCAACTCCTGGAAATTTAGATGAGGAAAGTGTTATCTCTAAAAGCACGTCAATGACAAAGTTAAACAAGAGTGGAGAGAGTGGGCAGCCCTGACGAACACCACTTGAGATAATCAATTCTGATGACAGTTCGCCATAAGCTCTCACTCGACCAGTTATGTTCGAGTAGAGAGCCTTTATAAGGTTAATGTACTTCTTTCAGTGACAAACACTACCATAGAACCTCACGATCAACAGAGCTGAATGCTGTCTTAAGGTTGAGAAATACCACGATTGTGGGGCGTCTGAATGTCTATCTATGCTCTAGGACCTGACGTGGTGTGAATATCTGGTCTACACAACCTCGTCCAGGTCGAAAACCAGTCTGGTTTTCTCTGACGTGTTCTTCACCAGCTTTGGTTAGGCGTCAAAGTATTATTGAAGCTAATATTTTAAACACTATATTAGTCAAACTGATTTCTCTGTGATTGTCACAAGAGGACTTTTGTTCTTTTTTTATAGACTGGCATAATCAGTGATTGAGACCAGTCAGATGGGATTACGTCCAGCTCCCAAATTCTACCCAAGACCACAGTTAATCTCACTGCTAATACTGGACCACCATCCTTAAAAATCTCAGGAGTGAACCTGTCAGGGCCTGCTGCTCTCCCTCGCTTCAGATTTTCTATGGCTTTTTCAAATTCATAAAGAGTCGGAGGACCTACACTAACTTGCCATTCAGGTTGACTGGAGATCGTGGGAAATCGAAGTGTGGCTGAAATGATCCCTAAAGTGTTCTGCCCATCGATCCGATCTCCTGGATTGAGAGTGAATAATACGTCCATTTTTTCCGAGATAGTTTCGTTAACAGTTGGATTCCTAATACCGGTTTGCTCAAAAAGTTTGAACAGTCGTCTGCTGTTACTTATTTCGCCGTCTTTTCTATCTCTCTTGCTTTCGCTACCCACCAGTGTTCGTGATCATTGCGCAGGCTTCTTGTCAGCGTGCGCTTAAGCTGACTCTGCTCTTCATCATGTTGAGAGCCAGATGGGATGAGTTTTCGAGCATCTATCAGTGCGGTAGATGCTGCTGAGATCCGGTGTTGCTTCCCAACCTTACGGTTAACCATACTAGCAGATATCACTGCTGTTTCCACAGCTTTTCGGGTATCATTCCATACTGCCTCGGGGTGGGCATCACCTACATAGCTGCCTAACTGTTTTCCTAGTTGTTCCTGAAATATACTCTAAGTTTGACTATCATTAAATAGGACCCTAAGAGGTTTCCTTGCAGCGTCTTTCTTACGTTCAGTAAGACGCAGGCAAATACGTGCTCGTACTAGAGCATGATCTGAATCTAAGCATGTGCTCCAGAATAAGCGAGTCTTCTATCGAGCCCCTCCATCGGTGGCTGACAGCTATGTGATCTATTTGGGGCCAACGTTGGGACGAATTAGGGGGTCGCCATGTTAAAAGATGTTTCTCCTTATGCTTAAAGTTAGTATTTGCAAGGAACAGGCGGTTATCTGAGCATAGCTGCAACAGACGGTCGCCATCATCTGTTCTTTGAGCCACGATGCTATAAGATCCACCTAGGTGTCTCTCCCTTCCGCTTAGTTTACCTACTTGATCATTAAAGTCACCAGCCACTATTACTACATCCGAGAGCCTAACTTTTCGGAGAAGGTCGGAGAGCTTTATGTAAAACTCATCTTTTACATCATCTGAGCTGCAGTCAGTGGGAGAATAGGCAGAGACGACGAAGAGGCAACGACGAGTGTCCCTATCTTTTCGGATCCTTACTGTTACGTTTAGTCGGACAGCGCACGACTGTCTACTGGGATCCAGTCTAAGAGAGCTTGTTCTGCCCTAGGACTCAATGCTAAACCTACGCCGGCGAGTCCACGAGAAGCAGAATCTGGGCCTCCAGATACACGAAGTGTGAATCGAGTTGGTTCGTTGTTTTGACATGGTGATGTCAAGTGAATGACGCTACTCGGGTCCTGTATGCGCGTTTCGGAGACGCAGCACGCATCGATGGCGCGGGATTCTAAAGTCCTAGCTAAGGAAGCCTGTTGTCCTATTTGGCACAGTGTTCGTACGTTAAAAGCTCCTACATGTAGTTTAGAGCGTGGTTTCAGGAGACCAGGAATAACGTTCCGTGTACTCAAATCGTTGGCCCTAGCGGTGCGAGGTGAAAAAAGGACGTGAGAGGGGTTAGGCGGGGAGATAAGAGAGGTATTAAGAGGTGTAGGAAGGATTTGAATGTGACCAACTTGGTCTCGTGTGTTGTTACGGGTATGAGGGCTGATGTCACTTCCCGGTTGCCCACACCGTAGAAGGGTATCTCTAGAGGAACCTGAAAAGGAAGTCGGATTAATGTCGGCCTTAACGACCTGGGAGCGTGACCGCAGAGCCCAAGGGACAACTGCTTGAGGCCGGTCGCGCATGGTCTTTTTGTGGGAGGTTTTTGATGTGTTAGCTCCGTTCTTCAAAGGGCTTTACCACCGGAGAGGGAAATCCGTGAGGTAAGGGTCAACTATTTCTAACCCCCTCCTTTCTTGTGAGAAGGCAGCATCGCTGCAGATGCCGGTTGTCCGAGGGAAACACCTTACCGCTGTTACACCCCTCTACAGTCAGCAGTACGACTTCACCCTCAGACGTTGGATTGCTGCTTTTAGTCCTACCGTTCTCCAAACGACCTGCCTTGCATGGTAGAACCTACAGGAACATATGTTCCAGCCAATATAGCTCGGATGGGTCATCACGATAGGCAAGCCCGACCACCGCGTAAAGGTAGCAGTCACCACTGTGTGCATTTAAAAAATGCCAACTTCTAGAAGTTCCCAACCTTATCTCTCCATTTAGTCAGTGCCAGATGTCATATAAATCGTGTCCAATAAAGGCTACCACAACCCAAGGAAGTCTACACGGAGATAAGTTACTTTTAGCACAACTGAGCCTCATACTATTGGCCTAACTCAGTCAGTGGAAGTGTTAAGATTATCAGAATTATCAAACGCATAAGATAAGATTATTATCTAGTACACGTACTGGAGATTGTAAAATGTACGATAAAGAGAATTCACAATTTTAATAGCATCATTTCCCTTATAGAATAAATTGGCTAATAACAAAAAATTGATGTCTTACTCTTGATTTTTAACTTAAAAACGGTTATAATTCATATATATAGATATATGGGTAAAATATATCCGGCCACTTGGGTTTCTTTTACAACAAAGAATGAGTAAAGGTATGTTTAGTTACCACATACAACTATTAAAAAAAAACTATGACTATTTGAACATCTCAATCTTAGAGGTTTACAAAAACGGATAAATTACTGGATATGAATGAAATTGTTTCCTGGAATTTTTTATAGCTGAACAACTTTAATAAATAGGACGGTTTATCTTGACAGAACACTGTGGGGATCATTTTACAGAAGCTACTAACAGGGATATAAGCGAAACTGATCAAAAACAAACTAATAGGAAATTAGCTCGAGAAAAAAAAATAGTAGCGTTGCTAAACAACTTAATTCATCAACTGGGACAGTATCATGTTGTGATATCAGAAAAAAAAGTGTGATCTAAACGGAACAATCAACTATCTGGGGAGACTAACTGACTGCTTGACCAATACACAGCATGAATTTTACTGAGGATGCAACGCAAAACTAGAGTTCTATTATTTTTAAGCCTTAACAATGTGATGCCAGGATTGACAATCAAACATTTTACTGAATTTACTCGGAAAGTAAATGAGTTCCCAAACGTGATGCCTGAAGCCTCGTTGAAGCGTCAGTTGGAAATACGGATAGCTATTCGAAAACCAAAATTAAGGAGCAGATTTAGAAATTAATTCTCACACTAAATGCTCAAACAGACTAACGTAATGGACTTCGTCATATATAGATGAGACGCTTTGATAAGGTATTTGACTTAAAAATACGTTTATAGTAGCACAGGGAACAGGAGTGACCTTTTGATTTTTTTGTATTAAAAGCGATTAGACGAACTTAGAGTTCACCTGAAAATGAACATTACTATTCATAGATGTTCAAAAGTGGAAATATTTTCCAGTCATGTTGAAAATAAAATTATATTGGATGCTTCATGAACATCAATGGGCAATGAAAGTTACGTTGAACAGAGACAAATAAGAAGTTATTATAATAGTACAACAATAAAACTCTGAATCGCTCATATTCTCCCATTGAGAAAAATAGACATGAAAACTGCAGACCTTATGCTAGATATAGTCTAAATAAGTTGAAACCATATTTGTAGGTTTCATAGCATTACTAGATATGGGCACAAACTTACCCAGTGATGAAGGAGATACTGTTGACGAAGGGAGATGTGTAGTTAGACTCTGACTATCTAAACTATCAACATTTTGATGAGCGTACACAGGATAAGAAGATTTATTAGAATTAGACTCTAACTTTCCAGAAAACCACAAATGTGAATCGGATGTTTCAACAGACAAATTATCATGAGTAGGGGAATTCATTTCGTCAAAGTAACAGCCATTCGTATGTATGATATCATGGGAGATATGTGATTGAAAGACTAAACTTGACCCCATGGTTGCACTATTACTTCGATCGTTCTCCGATCTAAATAAACTCTTTCTATCTGCCATGAAGACAGGAGTACATGTTAATGCAGAATCGTTTTTGCAGAAAGCAGTAGAATTGGCAGCTTCGTTTTTGTACAAATTGGGATTGTCTTCTGAATAAGCGATTGACTTTTCATAGTTTTGACTCACATCAGAAAAGGCTTTCAGCTGAGGAGAAACTGAATCAACATACTCATAGTCGCACAGCACCGAACTAGTTAAACTGTTACTATAAAGTAAGAAAATAAAGAATAGGGTGTGAATTCTAGTTCCAATGATTGGGTGCCATTAACATACAGTTACACTTCCTTTGAACAAAAAGTAAATTCGCTAATTCAAATTAATACACTTAGCGAAAACATCGGACGAAAAACTTAACAAAGAAAGGAAGATCACGGAAAACTTGTCTACAAATAGGAAGGGGACAATCAGTCTGAACATGTAATAAGGTATTTCAATGTTATTCAACAAAAGAGAGGAAGTCAATCCACTTGTATAAATGTGTTGCGATCACCCACAATAAATAATGCATGGCCATCCTTTCCCGGTAACAAAAGAGTTATAATACATCCACTTACTATTTTTAAAATCTTCGTACACATAATACAATATCAAATTTATGGGTGCATTGACCACACAGTATATTTGCAGAAAGATACAAACTTTACAATGAAAAAAAGGTACGAATACTTAATGTATAACTATAGAAAACCATCATAAGTGTTCGTTTAACGACTCAAGAGCTAATGATGTGCCTTTACTAGACAAGTAAAGTCTGAGGGTTCTGACCGACTTTAGCTAATTTTATTTAGAAAGGCGAATAGTGCCGTTAATGCTCACAATATATATACTAATGCTTACTACCTATAAATCGACATACGGTAGCAAGTTCTACGTGCATCATAATGTAATGTGGTATGGCAACTCAAACCGATATACTCGTATGTCAGGTTCTACCTTGCGTATAACTGAATGACTGGTATTACAACTACTGAAATTAGATCAAATAAAGTACTAGAAGCGGTCATCAATTCGGACCAACCAGAGACTCCAATATTAATATATCATTTTTCACTAGTTTATTTAAAATACAGCTAAATTATAGTAATGAAATAGCTAGTGAAGATACTAAGATCATACTGGAAACCAACAACAATAGACCTTCAGAGTTGAAATAAAAGGTGAGTTAATACCTCATTACAAAAAAAAGAGTCGGTCACAGATTTATAGCTATTCACCGCTTAGAAGAACATATAACGTACAGAGCTATCAGGCTTTACTTAGTTACGTACGTTAGATGTTGTTGAGTATCTACTCATAAATTCTGTGTAACTGAACATGTTTGAAGCTTACTTGGCTATTTTGAATTTCTGTTTTATTTTGGGATATTTTTTCTTTGAATTTCCACTGCGACGCTTCAGTTTGTGTTGTTTGCTTTTTTGCTTAGTTTTTGTTACTACTTTCCATGATTTTAGTTCTGGCTCATAAGGATGTGACACGTTGGACATTGGCATTAGTGACGATTTCGCTTGAAGACGCACAACGCAATCGGAAGGGCCACTGAAACGTCGATGACGTACGTTCGCAGAATCACTCACAAATTCAGAAGCTTCGATTCGTGGAGGATGTTCAGGGGGAGACGAAGAGTAAAACGTGTTTAAAGAATCATTTGCATCTTCTAGGACAGGAGGGACAATGGGTGGTGATGTCAAGGACCGAATGGAAGAATCAACTTGTGAAGTATTTAGGGAATTAGGTTCCACAAACAAATCAACACGTTCATTTTTATTGACGTCCATATGGTCGGAAGCAACGCTATTATGATTTGGCGTTGATAAAACAGGAGAAAATGAACTCCTTATACTTAGAGGTTGTTTTGCTGACAGCTCACAAGGATTCCTGAAAGGTGTTGAGCTTTCTGATTCGTCATGCAAATTACTCCTAACTAAATTTGTATGCGATTTAATTCTTCTTGAAAGTCCCAACTTTTTACGAGGACATGAGGACGTTTTATCTGTCTTTGTGATACGACTGCAACTGTTAGTAAGTACTTTAGATAGATATTTTGGTGAGATGCTGGGAGCTTGGGAAACAGAATTATGAGCATACAAGAAACTAGGGGTTGAATGAATAATTGGAGAGCGTATAACGTTTGGTCCAGGTGGCTGAAGAGGGTAGTTGGCTGACTTACACCAACCGACAGGAAATAGTTCACGACTATCGAAACGAGCCCAATAGTCAAAAGCTCCTGACCAACCATCAAAATTTATCAAAATATGGTGGCCATTCACTGCGCCTACAGATGCAGGACATATCAGCTGAGTATTTCTACGATCTACTGCCTCTAACTTGTCATTCACTTGGAAGTAGTTATCCTCTGGATCTGGTGGTTGCTGTAATATAAAAAATACGGTATTACTAATTGGAAACAACGTGAAAACAGAATACGAACTATAAGACAGATTACGACTTACTGAAATGAACCACGAAGGATCTGCAAAACGCGTTCCTTCAGTTGCTTTCTTAAGAGTACGATTCCACACAAGATGATTATGCATATAGCCAAAGGGTGGTTGTAGTGGACTTCCAGAAGGATAAGGTCTGATTTGATCAGAATCAACTAAGAACCAATAATCATTACGATCATCAGTTCCAACCAGACGTATTCTCAAACGTGGACCACACGTTTCTATCACTCGAGCTAAACTGAATGAAGCTGCTCTGAAGCGTCGGACAGTTCCACTGGAGTGAGGATTCAGACTGGACCTTCTACATGGGGTCTCCAACAGCTGTTGATTACTAATAGTAGAATTATTAGCATAACGTGCTTTTATTAGGTCGTTTGAATATGGATTGAGAACAAGAGCTGCGCTACGTTGATCCTCCGCTTCTAGAATGGTATTCACCTCGAAATAGTTTGGCGGAGGAACAAGAGACTGAAACAAAAACAAGAAATTGATGTTTTGATACAGTAAGAAATGTATAAATGAGCAGTTAGAAGTGGAATTAAGATGAAATAATCGATTATATAGGGTTGAATAATGTTAAAATCGACATCAATATGGAATAAGTGGATGCGATTGGTTTCGCTAAAAAAACTGTTAAAATATACTAAAAACTCAAAATAGCTATAATCTATATTGCATAAGACTCAGCTACACTTGATGATATACTAGTTACTATCCCAATACAAAATATTTCACTTCAGCTAAACCTAGTACTTCTAAACGCGTGGAAAATAAAAATACTGGAAATATGAAAAACCGAACCAGCAACATAAAACCTGTCACTTAACTTGATAGGCTCTCAATCCCACAGTTCGAAACAATGTACCTGAGAGAGATATATATAATAAAAATAACGAGAGTACGTTGTGCGGACGAAAGAAACAAAATGAGTTAAGACAAATTATTATTATTGGGCGGAACCTCCTTCGCCATCCTGTCATTTGCCCCCAAATGCCCAGGTATGGTCGGGGGTGGGGCGTGTCAGCTTTCACTCTCAAAATGTTACCATATGTCCACGCGTATACAACCACTGACAATGAAGACCTACTCATTGCCTTCTCACGACAGAGGTGTTGTTTACGAAATTGAGGGGGTGAAAAGCAAATGTCCGGTGCTTTAACCGGGCTGGTAGAAACAGAGGGTCTACCTAGGTGAGTTGGAAAATCCTAATTCCGAACCAATGGCGCACATGGGCTCCAAAATCCTGAGGGAATAAATGGCGTATGAACCTATTGTTGGTCACCGGCTACCACGAGACTGCATCTCCTGACGTTGCTTCATTGCCATATGTTTTGGACCTTTAAGTTTAAAGCTCAGGGTGTGGCACCCTAAGAAATCACCTGCTTCGGTTTGGGCGCACGGGTAGTATCACAGACCTCACACAAATCAATCGCAACTCCTACTGACCTTTTTGTTATTGTGGCGGATACGTATTTGGTGCCCTCTCGTGCCAATCTTTGTGTTCAAATAAAATAATAATAAATAAATGAATCTATTAGACCTTCATGAGGCTGTTAGATATTCTATTACAGATGATAATGGCATACGTCAAGCGAGTTAATGACATATTTGGACAAGAGAATGGATCAAAAATCAAATAAGTTTGGTGCCTAACTAGTTCACCTACCATCATCTTATATCGTCTAATGTGGAACACTTAACATTTATAGGCGAAAATAAAACATGAATTCCACTTCTGAACAACTCGGATCTGCTTCAGATAGCTTCATAACGAGCCTTGCAGATCAAGGACATATTTTGAAGTTGTCAGCACTACATAAATTAAACCCAATAACTTACATTTGCTTCTTGGCATCAGATGTCTTTTTCGTCGACTTACGTGTTATATGTGTAAACGCTGAATTTACTGATTTACGACAGCCTGTGTCCCACAACAATTAGATCAACAGGAAATATTTCGTCTGAAGAACCTTAGATTTAATGCTTTCTCCAGTAGTTTATGTGGTATTCAATAAAGCTTGTTAGGAACTATGAACAGCTGTAAGAATGTTTTATCAACAAAGTTACAAATACTTTAGTAAATCAAGCAATTAGTCTCGTTGATAAACATTTCAAAACTCAAATGTGCCGTCTCAAATAATGGCATCTGAGTGTCTTGATTTTCAACCAGCAGGGTTGTAATATCCTGTGCCCCTGATAGCAAGTAACATGGTAACTAATAAGATGCAGGATTTCGTGCCTAATTCAAGTGTATCAACACTGACTGGTAGCCTCTGAATGAAATATGGATATGAACGAGATATTTCTTAGATATCTACAAAATTACGATGATGTTGGGATACCTACAATGCCTTTGTACTACTGCCTACGTAATGAATGAACCACTGGGGTACGACCACAAAAGTTTTCATTTCGATGGAATTGTTGATACTGGAACCAGAATAGGCAGTCAAAAATAGGTACAATATTCGATGATATTAGATACTCAAGAACAATTATTCTCACAAAGTTTTCCAACAAGGAAAATTCTGAGCCCTTATATAGTTAATCGAATTTAAGTAGTACAAACTCATATGCGTGAATATCCAGTTATTTTACCGTGAGTGTTGTTAAGGAACCCTTTTGAATTATACCTTAAGGCCATGGACGGATTATTTCCTTACTGTTCCTTTACCTCGTAATATTAATAGGCTTCAGACCCATGTGCCAACTTTCTCTCACTTTGCTAGACTTGAAAGTGTTTGACTTTGGTGGGTTGCAGCAATTAGTTACTGATAACTTGAAATCTGGCACAAAAATATATCGGTCCAACATGGCATACTTCATATCATCAGAGATTTATAAGGTAGTGAGTGAAACTACTGCCGAGAGCATCAGATAACATTGTATCAAGGATACTGGTAAAACCACAGAACGAAAAGTATAGGGTTATACGAAAATCGGGACATAGGAGCAACTGCGACTGGAGAGATATTACCTAAATTCTCTAGTCACAAGTTAAGAATAACTTATTCTTGATCGGTAAGACCCCACTTCTCATAAATCTACGACCACCAATGGAATATTGTACTGGTGCCACGTCTTGAGGGGAGCGACACTAATTTCTACTGTGGAGAGTAAAATAAACTATTCATTCTAAGTCAAATTTGTATCCTACAAAATAATGCACTACTAACCTGTTTAAAGCACTCCAACTTCGCCGGGCGACCGTTTGTTTTCTTAAGATAGTCGTCCCACGTAAAACTATTAGAACTATCAGCTGAAACGTGGCAACCCATAACACAATGAAATAACAAAGAATAACTTCAGTACTCCAAGAAACAATATGGTAATGTTACGTCACCGTCTGGCTTTTAGTGTATGCTACAACTACCCAGGAATGTTTACGTTTAAGATTATTTCGCTTATTAAAAACCTGGAAGAGAAAATATGGATATGTGAAATAAATGATGAGTAACATTCTCGAGATTGTAATTCTTATTATTCTCGCTACCATATTTTCAACTCATTTATTGATAAAAGATGTCTAATCGTGGTATTGTGACATGGTAACACACGATAAAGAACATTTGTGCCAGACTTTACGTTGAGGATGACTAAACTATAAAATACACGTACAACCGACCATCATATGATTCCTGTTTAGTCGAATGTTCAAATTCCAAGTAGTGAACTCATGTGAGAAAAATTGCGAGAGCAATATGAAAAGTTTAAATAAGGGAGAATCAGCTTTCTGGAAAACAAAAAGCCGAGGCCATGTGCCCAAATCATGCCAGCAATGAACAATATATGAAAAAGGAAATTCAAACAGATTCCTTAAGAACACTGAGCACGGAATACGAATGAGAATTTACCATTATTTCCTTAAATCCTAAACAATTCATTCTTCAATTAAAGTGAATGGGGTTCCTGTATCAGGAAACTAATATATGACGCTGCAAATAAGATTCGGCGAAGCGATGTTTCCGAAGTAACAAATAATTACAATTGACCTAACTACGAGGCTTGTTCGAAATTAATCAGTACCAGACATCACAACACGTGTCAAAAGCCAACACCACTACGATGTATTTCTAAGACATTCAACTAACCTGTCAAAACATCGGTTACTAAGGTTAGATATCTCAGCAGCAGCTGAAAGCGAATTTTTTTGAGCTATGCGACCCTGTAGAAATAGAGGTAGAATACAGAGCGAGTGAGAATGGCTAGTTATATTAACCACAAGTATTACCACTTAAACACAGAGTCTAACAATAAACAGTAACAAGGTTAAACTTCAAACTTGGCTCTTACATTTTTCTTGAATTGTTGCGAATAAAGCTAAAACAGTTTCAGACCTAGATTATGAATAACTAAAGCTCGTGCTACAGTGTGAAATCGTTTACAGTTTCGTTTCTCTCCATTTTCATAAAAATCACTTCAAACTTAGCGAACCAAATATCAAGACTCCATAATTTCCTCAAGTTTTAGTGTCGGTTTCTTTTTGAAAAATTCACGTAGCTAGGGGACCTGAGTTAGATTTTCTATTATCGGAATCAGCTTAGCTGACGTCCTTTGCATCTTTTTCAATGGTTCGCCGTCATGAAAGATGTGATTTTTTCAAGATGCACTTTTATTCCTGATAAGCTACCATGTACTAGACTTAAGGCAGGATGAAGACTCCAAAGGGTTTGATTTGTATTCAGAACAGATGAGTGCTAGGAGGTAGACGTCCATCACTACTCGTCTATATCAATGACTTTCGTTTCAAAAAGGGCAATGATTCAGTACTGATTGTGATTTTCCTTGCTTTCGTGTACTTGTTGATGAACACCGAATACATAGAAGCAGCTAATTCAGTGGTGGTGATATATAAAATAAAGATTGCATATAAGGATATAATACATGAAGAAAGAATTAGGTAGTATAAAGGCGTCCGATAATTATTGAGGCTAGTATTTGAGATGCTATATTAGTTAAACCAATCCCTCTATTGTTATCAGAGGATGATTTTGACCCTTTCTTATATATTGGGACGATAAGTGATTGTGACTAGTCAGATGGGATAACGTCTAACTCCCAGATTTTAGCTAAAATATTAGTCAACCTAATAGCTAAAATCGGACCACCATCCTTAAAGACCTCTGGAGCCAATCCATCTGGACCAGCTGCCCTTCCTCGTTTCAGATTAACTATAGCTTTTTGAACTTCAGCAAGAGTTGGGGGACCTTCTTCAATGTTCCATTCACACTGTCTGGGAACGGAGGGTAGTTGTAGAGTAGCTGAAGGCCAGCTGAACTGTTCTCTAAAATGTTCTGTCCACCGTTCTAAACGTCTGGACTGGGAGCAGATGAGAGTATCGTCTTTTTCCGATATAATCTCACTTACACTTGACTTACTAGTTCCAGTTTCTTCTATTAGTCTGTAGAGCTGTCTTGTGTTCCCTATAGTCGCCGCCTTTTCCATCTCTTTTGCTTTCGTTGCCCACCACTGCTCTCGGTCGTTCCTCAGACTTTTGGTTAACCTAGATCTGATTTGTTTTCGATCTTCATCGTGTTCAGAGCCTGATGGGATGGGTTCACGAGAATCCATTAGTGTATTAGACCTTGAAGAAATCCATTGGCTCTTCGTGACCCTGTGGTTTATATCACTAATAGACGTCACTTCTCTTTCCACAGCTGCTTGCATATCCTTCCAAGCAACATCTGGGTCAGCCTCGTTTGCAGAACTACCTAAGTGTGACCTCAGTTGTTCCTGGAACCTACTTTTGGTTTTCTCGTTACTCAACTCAGTTCTAATGGGTCTTTTTAATGTGGCTTTTTTGCGTCCAGTGAGGCGCAAGCAGATGCGTGCCCGTATTAGGGCATGGCCGGAGTCCAAGCAGGTACTCCAGAATGAGCGACAATCTTCTACCGACCCTCTCCAACTATGACTGATAGCAATATGGTCTATTTGAGTCCATCGTTGGTTTGTTGTAGGGGATCGCCATGTTAAACGATGTCTCTCCTTATGCTTAAAATTTGTGTTTGCTAAAAATAAACGATTGTCTGAGCATAGTTGCAGCAGACGATCACCGTTATCTGTTCGCTGTGCCGGTATACTAAAATACCCACCTAAATCTCTTTCTGTTTGGTTTAAACTACCTATCTGGGCATTAAAGTCACCTGCCACGAGTACTATGTCTGAACGTTTAGCTTTCTGAAGAAGTTCAGATAGCTTTCTGTAAAATTCATCTCTCACTTCATCTGAGCTGCAGTCGGTGGGAGAGTAGGCAGAAACGACAAAAAGGCAACGACGTGTGTCCCTATCCTTCCTAGTCCTTACGGAGCCGTTTAGCCGAACAACACATCGGCGACTGTTGACGGGGATCCACTCTAACAGTGCTTGTTCCGCCCTCATGCTTAGTGCTATCCCTACTCCTGCCAGTCCACGAGAACTGGCCATCAGGTCACCAGATACACAGAGGGTGTATCTCGTCGGCTCTTCGTTTTGCAGAGGTGAGGTCAAGTGAATGACCACACTGGGATCCTGTATGCGTGTTTCGGAGACACAGCATACATCAATGGTACGAGATTCTAGGGTTTTAGCCAAGGAAGCCTGCTGACCGATTTGACATAGGGTGCGTACATTGAAGGCTCTAATGTGTAGTGTGAAGCGAGGTTTCAGTAGACCTGAGACAGTGTTTTGAGCACTAGAATCGTTGGCTATGGTGACACTTGAGGGGGAAGCCGAAAAAGGAAGTTTAGAGGTGAAAGTCGATGTAGGAGGAATGATAGAATTGAAGAGGGAGGTTGATTATGAATACAGTGGTCTTGAGTGCTGGTAGTGGTATCAGGGTAGTTATCACTTCCCAGTTGCCCACACCGTAGAACGGTCCTTCTGGAGGTACCTGAAAAGGAAATTGGATTAGAGGAGGTCATATTGATTTGAGAGTGTGACCGCAGTGCCCAAGGGACAACTGCTCGAAGTCGGTCACACACGACCTTTTTATGAGTAATTTTTGTGTTAGCTCCGTACTTGTTGAGACCTTACCGCCAGAGACAGATATCCGTGGGATAAGGCAAGGTGTGCATTTTTAGGGTCGACCTTTTCTAACCTCATCCCTCCTTGTGGGAAGGCAGCATCGCTGTCATGCTCGTCGTCTGAAGGAAACACCTTACTGCTGTCACACCTCTGTACAGTCAGCAGTACGACTTCGCCTTCGGACCTTAGGTTTGTTGTTTTTAGTCTTACCGTTCTCCAATCGACCTGCCTGGAATGGTAGAACCTACAGGAACATATGTTCCAGCCAGTATAACACGGTTGGGTCATCACGAAAAGCAAGCTCAACCAGGGTCAGGTCCAACTATTTCACAGCACATTGTCGCTGCGTTCAGACATATTTAGATTCACTGGAGATAAATTTTATTGAAGTTGTAGTTGTCTTCAATCAAACTGGGAAGAAAATTGAGCAATCAAGGAAATACTTAGCAAGTATGTGATAAATTCCCCAGACATTTTTCTGTGAGGAATGATAATCTCGTCAGCCGATATCCCATCTTTATTGAACCGTGTTTGAGCCTAAATAATGCAAAAAATTATCGATTTCTAGCACTAGTGACTTCGAAATATGGTGTGATATATCGAACGATTCAAAAATGTGATCAACATTGTTTAGAGGAAAACAGCGATCAAGAGCAGAAAAAGCCAAGGCACAAGCTGAATAAACAGAAGTAAACAAACAAGTGAAGAGGAGCATCAGAACCGACAAACGTAAATATGTGGAAGATTTAGCAACGACGGCGGAAAAGGCTGCAAGAGAAGGAAACATGAGACAACTGTATGACACGACAAAGAAACTCACTGGAAATCGCCGCAAACCAGAACGACCAGTGAAAAGCAAAGAAGGCAAGGTAATCACCAACATTGAAGAGCAACAAAACAGGTGGGTAGAACACTTCAAAGAACTGTTGAATCGACCAGCTCCACTGAACCCACCCAACATCCAAGCAGCACCCACGGACCTCCCAATCAATGTTGGCCCACCAACAATTGAAGAAATCAGCATGGCCATCAGACAAATCAAGAGTGGCAAAGCAGCGGGACCAGACAACATTCCAGCAGAGGCACTAAAAGCAGACGTAGCGGCAACTGCAAGGATACTCCACATTCACTTCAATAAGATTTGGGATGAGAAACAAGTACCAAAAGACTGGAAAAAAGGACTCCCGATCAAAATACCAAAGAAAGGCGATCTCAGCAAGTGTGATAACTACAGGGGCATCACTCTTCTCTCAGTACCGGTAAAAGACTTCGACAGGGTATTGTTAAACAGGATGAAGGACTACGTAGACGCCCGACTTCGTGACCAACAGGCAGGATTCCGTAAGGATAGATCGTGTACAGACCAAATCGCAACTCTGCGGATCATTGTGGAACAATCAACTGAATGGAATTCATCATTCTACATCAACTTCATTGACTACGAAAAAGCATTTGATAGCGTGAACAGAACAACACTACGGAAACTTCTTCGACACTACGGCGTGCCTCAGAAGATAGTCAATACCATACAGAACTCATATGATGGATTACACTGCAAAATCGTGCATGGAGGACAGTTGACAAAGTCGTTCGAAATGAAGACCAGTGTCAGGCAAGGTTGCTTACTTTCACCCTTTCTCTTTCTCCTGGTGATCGACTGGATCATGAAGACGTCAACATCTGGGGGAAGCTTGTGATACAATGGACATCTAGGATGCAGCTGGACGATCTAGACTTCACAGATGACCTGGCTGCTCTATCGCACACGCAACAACAAATGCAAGAAAAGACGAACAGTGTGGCAGCAGCCTCAGCAGCAGTAGGTCTCAATATACACAAAGAGAAAAGCAAGATTCTCCGATACAACACAGCATGCACCAATCCAGTCACACTTGACGGAGAAGATTTGGAAGATGTAAAATTTTTTACATATTTGGGTAGCATCATTGATGAACAGGGTGGATCTGGTGCAGATGTGAAAGTGCGGATCGGTAAAGCAAGAGCAGCATATTTACATCTGAAAAACATCTGGAACTCAAAGCAACTGTCAACCAACACCAAGGTCAGGATTTTCAATACAAATGTCAAGACAGTTATACTGTATGGGGCAGAAACCTGGAGAACTACGGAAGCCATCATCCAGAAGATGCAGGTGTTTGTTAATAATTGTCTACGCAAAATACTTCAGATCCATTGGCCGGACACTATTAGCAACAACGTACTGTGGGAGAGAAGCCAAATCCCAGCGGAGGAAGAAATCAGGAAGAAGCGTTGGAAGTGGATAGGACACA